GGAAAGAGAAAGAGAGTTAGAGAGAGAGGAGATAGAGAGGAGAGAGGAGAGAGATAGAGAGGAAAGAGAAAGAGAGTTAGAGAGAGAGGAGATAGAGAGGTGTGTGTGAGAGAGAGAGAGAGAGAGAGAGATAGAGAGAGAGTGAGAGAGAGAGGGGAGAGAGAGAGAAAAAAGGGATAGCAGGGAGAGAGAGAGAGAGAGAGAGAGAGTAGAGAGAGCAGTTGTTACTTTCCGCGATTTTGCCGTCTTGCAAATTTACGATGAATAGAACGGATGGAAAAAAGTAACTCCTCATTGTCTAATTTCGTTTCTATTTATGCCAGTTATATTTTCAGTCTGAAAACCCAATTTTTAATTCTCAAACTCCCAGACTACTATTCCCTCTTGCACCCTATAGCTTCGGGTGATTTGGAGGTCCAGTTACAAAAATCATTACAAAAATTGTTTTCAGTTTCAGTTTTGATGAAGCCATTCCTTTTCTTGTTCTAAATACACAAAAACCTATAAGCCGTATACTCAAAATTGTTACATCATGAATCCATCAAAAGCACCTAAAAAACATTTGCGCAAGCGAGTCTCGCCGGTATGCCTAAAGAGGCAATTGCGGTTGACAATAAGATTACGATCCAATATTACACAACTGATTTAAATTATATGGACAAAAAAACTGGAACAACAAATCGCATTTTCTCAACTGTTTTGAGTTTTGATAAAAATGATCAAAAAAACAGTTGCTCCAAATTTATTTAGAAAAAAATCTGGTGTATTTGTTTTTGTAAACTCGCCCACAAAAAAACGTATAATTTTGGCCGCATTTATTGGATAAAAAATTACAAAAAAATTATTTAAGAATCTGCCTCTTATGTAGTTTAACAATAAATATAATGGGCGTGATCACAAAAATTGTGCGAAACGAATAAAAAATAATAATTTAAATAAAACTTGGCACTTTATATCGAAAAAAAACTTCTAGAAGAATATACCCCTTTTACACGTTGTTGGGCTACCAAAAAGATTCACTTTTATACAGGCTTTTAAGCAATTGACCCGGTAGTTTCTGTGTAATCTTTGATAAACCAAATGCAGCAAGCAATTCGTTAGCCAATTTCGGAAAATAAATTGCAGAATAATTTTTTGGATTAAATTCCTAACAAAAAAGATAGTTTTTTATCATTTTTTGTTTAATTTTATTACAATTCGAGCATAACGCGTATTAGGTCGCAAATTCACTAATTTCGTCTAAGTAATTCAAACTGCTTTGCATTGAAAAAGGAGATTTGATCAGCGAACTTTTGAACCGTTCCATTAAAGGATCAAGGTAACCTATTTACCCAACATCATAAAATAAAACTTTTGAAACATACTTTTGATATAAATGAAACCCAAGAAAAACTGCAGTCGCAACAACAAAAAAGTTTGATTTTTCTCTTCTAACAACGAGCAATGAGCAATTACAAATCAATTAGATTTGAACCTAGAAATGTATTGAATAAAGATTGAAATTAATCTGGCTTTTCATTGAGATTTCAGAAAAATATTGTAGATAGTTGAGGATTTTTTAAAATTCAAGCTTAGCTTTTTTAATAGTCATAACTTTTATTCTCTACTATTTGTGATTGATTGGTCAATTCTTCCATGTTCGAAAAAATAAAAAGAATCGAAACAAGCCCAATTTTGCTTAAAATTTTGAAAAGTATGTCCAATACAGTCGAAGGCTATCCGATTTTGGTTAATAAAATCTGAAAATATGTTGCAATTTTAGTCGAGCACAGAGAAAAACTAGATTGAACACTAGCTAAACAGTTCGAGCACAGTCAAAACCTATCTCGACCGCAGTATAATATAGGCCGGGCACAGACAAAAAAATTGAAAATTGTCAATTTTTGTCAAGCACAATGGAATGGTAGAACGATTTATTGGTCGATCACATCATATAACACACTATTCCAGTCTATATGTGTGAATGATGCGCAGTTAGCTCAACCAGAATGCGTGCTGATCTTTTTATGAACACCACAAGGAGGCGGTCATTTTGCCAAAATCAAATAATTGGTCCCAGAATACCAAGCTGAAAAAAGCAACATAGATCCGATATGAATTTAACGCCAAACTGGTTAAGTTTGAGGAATATATATTTAAAAACTAAGTCAAATCCATTGTTTCTGTTTCAATTGTGTTTCAGATTTGTAAAAGCATTTCTTGATTCTGGTGCTACATATGTGCCAGTAAGCCAAAAAACGAGAATTGGATACTTTAATTTTAGAAATTTAGGTCGTAAATTTTTGAAATGAAAAACAATCGAAGTATTTTTTTTATAATACTTTTCAAATTTAATTAGAATATCGTTAAATTCAGCATAGTGTTAACTTCTGTGTTGATAGTAGTTTTGTGCTTAAACTCTTTTTACAGCATACTGTTCTGGGTGGTGACCATTTTTTGTAGTTAACCCAAAACATTGCTTTTGGCACAGTGCCAGGCCTTCTCGTGACGGTCTTGTATAGAAAACAAATATGCTGGTCTTTAAGCATATAAATAATATAACTGCCCATAATTAACACATTTGCATTACAGTTTTTCGTAAATTGGACCTGCGTTTTCAATATGCCGAAAGAAACCGACAAACAAAACTGTTATAGAATATTTAACTTTGCTCGCTTCAGGTCGATTCTGCGTTCGACTGAAGATGATTTCCGGCTGCGTATTTCCAGCCACAAAACTGCACCTACTCGGGATTTTGAAAGTCGGAAGAACTATAAGCTATAAGCTTGCATAAATTGAAGGTGATTTGAGCGCTTTGAAGAGAACTAAGAACTGTTCCTTAAGAATGATTTCTTTTTCTAGAGGTTGTGAAATGTCAAATGCGACTTGAGAGAATTGTTCAGAAGTTTCGACAAGGGAATCTTGGGAATAGGTGTTGGCCAATTTTTTTCGTAAACTCAATAGATAAACTCAAAAACGGCCGCAGCAAATTGTGTTAGCGTGACAATTGCAAACTATAAATTGGCATTCAAAGTTTTAAGGGGCGATTGCAAAATCATCACTCAATTCTTTTGTACTCTATTTGACAAGGGAATTTGATGGAAAGTTTTGTAAGAATTTTAGATGATTTATCATTCTAAGAAAAGATTTTGGGGAGAAACAGCAGCGGAAACAACAATCAGGTATTTTAGTCCCTGCCCAGAGTTGATCCCGACACCTAGATTGGAAGTCACGCATTTAGTATATGCGCAATGGATCATTGCGGCTAACAACCTTCACCCGGCCGTTGTTTTTTCGAGATTTTTTGCTGATTCAACATTGAGAGACTCTTAATTATCTCGTGCATTTTTCCAGCAGAATTGAAAAGTGCATCAGCTTTCTCACCGGAGTCTTAGCAATTGTCTGTTGATTTAAGAATTTTTTCAATGATTGTGGGTCTGCTTCAATTTTCATTGATTGATTGTACTGTTCTCGCTCAGGCAATTTTTTTGAAGTAGTCAATTTGATTAGCTGTCAAAGTTGCATTCAAACATCAAAATAACATATCTTTGCGTGTCGTTTGCGTGTCTGACAATTGTGTCCACAAACAAAATCGTCCGAAAGACAGAAAAACACAAAGACAAATCATTCCTTGACACTTTTGTCACTAATTCACTAATTGACGACATTGAATAGGTGACACACTTGTCAGTTCACTAGGGTAATCACTTTTTTCTGCAAGGTCTCAGCTACTAAAAAACATAAGTTGCAGCTGCGAAATATTGTTTGGACACAGATGACAGAAAATTCAGCTTTTTGAACCAACGTGTCTGAGACAGAATCGTCCAAGGCACTAGTGTCTATGCACTCTATGGTTGTTGAGTGTCTTGGTTAATTTAATCGGACAGAACTTGAGTTTCAATTTTTCTGTAGAAAAATAACACTAATGTCTCTCATGCAAAAGTTGAGCGTATGATTTTTCTTTGAAAAATGTATTGAAAAAGGATTGCCACATCTCTTGAAGCTAGTGCAGATTCATTCAAAAATTTTCATTCAACAGTTGGAAATTTTGTTGCAGCAGCCAGAAGAACAGTTCCACCATGCTATGTGCGCAATAAGCAGAATTGGCTAAAATCATATTTTTCTTTATGTTCATAGGCATTTGGCGCTCTTCGGTATCGTAATTTTTTTGTCTCTCTTTAAACTAGGGCATATTCATACAGAAATTTTTGTTCAACAGTTGCAAGTTTTGTTTCAGCAGCCAGAAGAACAGTTCCAGCATGCTATGTAAGCAATACGCAGAATTGGATAAAATAATTTTTTTTCCTTATGTTCATAGGCATTCGGCGCTCTTTGCTATCGTAATTTTTTTCGCAGAAACGCTTGATTCAGGGCCTTCATGATGCCTCAAGTTTCAAGAAATGGCAAAAAACTGTAATTGCCAATAAATGATTTCAGAGTAGCTGCTTTGTTATGCCTTCCAGTTTAAAATTAAAAAATTATTTCGATAAAGAAATGAGGGTCGAAGTAATAGTTATGCTGGAAAATGACATCCGGTGATCCGCGGCGAAAGTGTAAAAATAAAAAGCAGTTATCACCAAAACTCCCAACTAACAAATGACATTTTTTTCTGATGGATAACAATACTTTTCAATGATTTCAATTGGTGAGTGACAGTTTTTAAGTTCACTTCTAAAAAATTATAAGAGTTTGATTTTTGAGGCACAGGCAATTTTTTTTGCAAAATATTAGGAAAAAGCGGTTCTAAGATTTTTCTCAAACTGATTTGTCAAATCAAAATAACTTAGGCACTCTTTGGAAACATTTCAGTACAAAAATTGCAGGTCAATTTTAATACGTAAATATTTGTGATGAAATGCATGGTTTTACTTTTTGATTAGTTGACAACCAAATGCTCGAAAAACAAAATGCTCTAACTAGTTGTCAACCAAATGCTCGAAAAACAAGTTTTTTAGCATTTAAAATATCTTCTGACGAGTAGTTCAGTTAATGTAATAAATAATCTTTTACAAACAAGCAGGGTCGAAATGGGGGATGAAATCGCTCCTTCATTTAGGAAGCTAGGTCTTTCTAAAAATCATAATTTTAGAGCTGTGGAGCTTTGTTTGGACACAAATGACAGAAAATTCTATCTATTTTGTTGGGACAGATTTGTCAGAGTCGCAAGTGTCTATGCACTCTATGATTCTTGAGCGTCAGGGATAACTTTGATCATACAGATCTTTCTTTGCAGAAAACTAACACTAATCTCTCTCATGCAAAAGTTGAACGTATGATTTTTCTTTAGAAAATGTATTGTAAAAATGATTGCCATCTCTCTTTAAAGTAGTACATATTCATAAAGAAATTTCCATTCAACAATTGCAAATTTTGTTACAGCAACCGGAAAAACAGTGCGAACATGCTATGTTCGCAATAGGTAGAATTGGTTTGAAACATATTTCAACAGGCTCACTTTTTCTTCATAGGCGTTCTATATTATCGTAACGTTTTCGCAGATGATTTAGCCTTCAATATGCTACAAGTTGTTAAGTTTCATAGAAGATTGACTTCAGAGTTGATGCTTTGTTATGCCCTCCAGTTTCAGTTTGAAAAATCATTTCAATAAAGAAACGAGGGTAAAAGTAGTAGTTATGCTGGAAAAGGATATCCCGTGATCCGCGGCAAAAGTTTAAAGAAAACGAACAAATATCATCAAACTGCTAATTAACTGACGAGGTTTTTTTCTGACGGAAACCTTTAGTTTATTGACTTCAGCAGGCGAGTGACCATTCTTAGCTTCACATCTAAAACAATTTTTTTGGCACCGGCAGTTTTTTTTGCTAACTATCAGGAAATAGTGGATCTAAAATTTTCTCACACTGATTTAAAAAAAAATTGTCGATCCTTTTTTAGATAGACCATATTCATTTTTTGAAGTCGCCCAGAAAACTGTAAAAACTGTATCTTGTCAAAATAGCCGCAATCAAATTTTTGGAAAACTATGTTTTTTATCATTCTTTGGAATCATTTTGCCAAAAAAATTGCTAGTCAAAATTATTATCGAAGCATTCGTAATGTATTGCGCTGTTTTTATTTGTTGATTTGTTGACAACCAAATGCTCGAAAAAAAATTTTGTCAATTAAAACCAATTTTTATGAGTAATTTGTAATTTAATTGATGTAACTCATTAATGGCATTTTGGAAAACATCATTACCAAATAGCAGGGTTGGGTTTGGGGGGAAAGTTGCTCCCGCCTTTAGAAACCTAACCCCCTTGCCAACTAAAGGATCCCCCTCTGGTAATATTTTACGACGCCTTTTTCACCCCGCAGACACTTTGCCCCTTCCTGAATAAAAACCCCTGAAAAAAATAGATTCTTGTTTACCTAACAAAGTATTTGTGTAAGCTAATCATTTAGGTAAGTTTGTTGTACTGGCCTGGAATTCAAATGAAATCGTCCGACCTTGATAATCACCAGTTTTTGTGCAAAATGCATAATGTGATTGCGGTTCTGCGTCTCCTGGCCTAAAGGAAAATAAACAGTTATCACTATTATCTTCTTTTATGATCTAGACTAAGGAAAATCAAATAAAGTTCCAGACAATTTGTAAGCCTCAGTGGTTCCAAAAACCATCAAACAATTCAGGCAGGATCAATATTTCTCAATATTGCTGTGAGACACCCCGTTCAAGAACATTCTGCATCCAGTCTTGCCGTTTAGAAATCACTAGGCACATGCACATGAAAACATGAAAGAAAAAATTTACGGTGTAAATATATATTTTCTTTTTTCGAAGTTGTATGTCAGCTACAGGGCGCACAGACAATTCGGTCAAAGACAATTCAACCAATTTGAAACTCAGACAATTCAGCCACAAATATACAGACAATTCAGCCTGAGACAATTCAGCCAGTTTTACAAAACGCTAGTTCGAAAGAAAAAAATCAGAAGTGGGGTGATTTCTCGGTTCAAGGTCGCCGCGTCGCGGCGATAACCGGCTCTAAGTTTCGTATAGAGTCCTACCCTCTGTTGGCAAGCCCGCAACACGTTGGCGCGACTGCGGCGGTCACTATTATTGGCTGAATTGTCTTTGACCGAATTGTCTTGTCCGCATACTTTTGGCTGAATTGTTTGAACTTCAAATCGGCTGAATTGTCTTTGGCCGAACTGTCTGGACGCGGAGGTACAGTGTGTTTTTTCAAGTTTTGCAGGAAATTTGCAAAAAGTATGCCGTGTCCTTTACTAAATTCCATGTCTAAGGTCACCACCTCAAGTAATTTTAACTCCCCGCAATTAAAGAGAGGGGGGTGTCAATCATTAACCCACTCCCCAAATTCTACCAATGAATAGGGGGGGGGGGTACGGGAGTGAATGGCAATTAAGCTTAACTGGGGAGGGGGGTAATCTAAACAGAGGGGGGTGGAACGTGGGAGGGGAGGGTTAAAGCAAACGGAGGGAACACCGTTCAAACCACAATATATATTATATTAAAAAATATATATAAATTTCAACGTGAAATGAAACATTTTACGAAACGTTTTACGTAGGAACTGCACTAAACAGGAAATGAGATAAATTTGATAAAAGTTGTAAATTTCACAAACCATCTCTCGAAAAAACCCATTATAATCGATTATAATCGATTTTAATGGATTATATTGGCATATAAAATATTAGGATTGTAATCTGGATTGTAATCGATTTCAATGGATTATATTGGCATATAAAATATTAGGATTATAATCTGGATTATAATCGATTATAATGGATTATATTGACATAAAAAGCATAAGGATTATAATCCTATTTTGATGGATTATAATCGATTATTTTGTAATTTTACTCGGACTTTATTGATTAGAAAAATAGTTTCATTATAATCCAATTTTAATCGATTATAATCGATTATTATCGAAATTTAGTGAGACAGGCCACGAAAATTCAAAATAATTGATTATTATCCATGGAACTCCGGTGCGGGGTGCCAACAAAGTTTACGCTACACGTTTTTTTTGTCGAAGTTCACTGAAATTTTGTGCATGGAATCCACTTAAGTTTTATGATAAGTTGAAGAAATTTCTCTGATTTCCAGTGATCTTCAATAAAATGAAAATAACCCGGTGCGGGTTGTTTTCATTTTGAGGGAAGGTTGAGATTCACGCAACGCGCGAGACCAAATTGCGTAAGCTTACAATTGTTGTCGAGCTTAACGCTGATTGTGATCAAAGTTTTCTTCAATTCTCAGCTACGGAATTGTAGCTACGTGTCGGTCAAGTATGAAATTTTTGGGCTCGACACCTTTGATTATTGTAGATTAGAAATATTATCTGAGGTTCTTCTTGCGTTTTAGAACTGCCCAACTAAGTAGTGTGTAGTTCCGAAATATCTGCATTCCCTTTTGTTCCCTGGGGTATTATATAGTACTATTTTGATACAACGCATTAATTGCTACAAAGCGACACCGTGGCGCAGCGCCATGGATGTTTCGAACCTCCACTTAATTCCTGAGAGCAAGTTTCTTACAATTCTCTCCAATTCCAATTTTTTTTAAATAGCAATATAACTGGTGAGCTATGTGGAAGGAATGTTTTCTGTGTCGGCCTAGCAATGAATTGTCCACGCCCATAACGCACGAGCTGGTAACGAAAGATGGGACACTTACATACCCCATTTAGGAAATGGTTATTAATTATGTCGAGTTTTACATACAGTGCTGAATTTAAGGATTTGACAGTTTTATTGTTAAAACCAAATAACAAATTCATATTAAACTGTGAGGTTCATATAAGCCAACACTCATGCTTTGGAGTCAGTTTAACTTTTTAAGTCAAAACTTAAATTTGAGCGGGGCTATGGTGTATGGTGATGCATTTTGGTAGCTCAAATACAAGTTGTTCATTGTTTTATATATTATCAAAAAAAAACAATTTTTTCAAAAAAAAGACAAAATTAGGATTCCTAGCACTTATTTCTTCAGCAAAAAATGTTCGTAAATGAGTGAGAAACAATCGCCATTTTTTTGTAATATTCGAAAAAAAAATTACAAAAATAAAAGATGACGATAGATTAGCCAGATATCTGTATAAGAAAATTATCGTGAAAAATTTTCCGCTTGCACTCTCTTTCAGCGAAGAGCGAACTAAGTTGACAGAATTCCTTCATTCAATATTGAAAAAGTTTTCCCTCTGTAAGACACGATTGGGCAAAAATTATAATTACTTGAAATTTGCAGTTTTTTTCAGGTAAGGATAATTGTTTCTCAATTTCGTGAGAATAATTTTAAATGTTTTTTGCTTCTTTTTGTGGGAAAAACTGCAGTAAAAAATTCTCAGCTATTCCATTCTGAGCTGATCCACTTCCTCGATTTGCAATTACAAACTTTTTTCAACTTTTGTTAGTACCATTCAAAACCAGAACTCTATTGTAAATTTTTGTTTTTTTTTCTAAAAAAAAACTTTGACAAGCTAATGTGGGTTGATTTAGGATTTTTCTGTGTTCTTTTGAAGAAACAAATAATTCTGATTTCATTGAACTGTTCAGCGTGCTAATTGTTATGTATTTTAACAACAATAAAAATGTGGCGTTTGAAATTTATAAATTTAAATGAAAAATTGGAAAAAAGTCATAGTGTTTTTCATTCTGCCCATTTTCAAGTAGAATTTTAAAATTGTGAAGTAAAATACTAAACTAGTCGCAAGCTATAGGACCTATAAATCTTTTAACAACATAAAGAAGCACAAATAAAATTTGGAAGATACTATGGTGTATGATGTTTCTTTTCTTGCTCGATTCTTGGTAGTTCAACGTAAACTTGTAGGCTGCTAAATTTAGTATCATGCGAAAGCCATCAGTAAAAAAAAATGGATTCCTTAAACTTATTGAGAAAACAATATTCTACACCAATGTAAAGAAAAATTAACAAAATGCCATGCCAGTGTGGAGTAAAACTTAGTTTGAATAGTTTCCTTTTTTTAAACTAAAACTTGACTACAAGCAAGCTAAACTGACGGATTCTCTTCATTTCTGTAACACCTGATTGAATAACATATTTGTTGCTCCGACCATTGAAAACGGGGAGGAACTTTGTATTCGGGTAGGTTTGTTTTTTTTTGCTTTTTATTTTCCACACAAAATCAAGCACCATAAATAATGACTGGACTGGGTTGAGTGATATGTCATTTTAAAGCCCTTACAGTCTTGATTTAAAGCACTTTAAAAAAGTTTCAAACAAATTTTCCCAATATCGAGAAAAACTGGTTCGAAGTTTTCGATTTTTCGTCTTATTTCGAGCGAACCAAGCAAGCGAGCAAACGTATTATTGCTCAAAAGCTTAATTTAAACGTAAGAGTTTTTATAAAAATTGAAAAACTTGAAAAACTTTTCGAAAATTTATTGACTTTTTTTTGTTTTTCCAGTAATTTTTCTTTAAAAATTATTTCCAATTTGCTCATTTTAGCATTGCTGTCGAACATACTTAATCTCCAGTTTTTGTTCAGCTCCTTTTAACACACAACGCCGAAAAAGAACGACAATAATTTGAAAAAACTTTGTTGTATTTTTTTAAAAATTATGATCGCAACATTCTGTGCTACTTGCACACTAACTGACTATCCTTGTTTAAAATTTGCAAATTTCATATTTCATTTTGAATGAAAAAGCAAAATTTAACAAAATTTGAATTATTCTGTTTGAAAACATTTAACATTTCTTGTGAAACAGTTCATTGTTTTTAACTACTGTTGCAAAAACACCAGCAACAAAAAAATAAAAGCTAGTTAATTAAATCGTGAGATATTTCAACCCCACACTCCAAAGATACAAGAATAAAAATAGGAAGGAGCTATGAAAAAGGGTAGTGCTCTTTGTCGCGTGATATTTAAACAGTTCAAAAAACACCTGTAGGGTGCCAAAATTTTCAAATTGAAGCCCTTCAGTCAAAAAACGGACTCCCAAATTGTAGTAAATAACAATAAAATTTGTTCGTAATTGAAAACAAATCAAAATTCAGTGATAGTTGAAAAACCTGAACAAAAGAAAAAATAATTGAAAAGCAGAGTTTGGAGGTCTGTAAAATAACCAGATCTCTCAATGTCGAAAAAAAATAGTTCTTAATAAATTATTTTTCGTACTCAGCGAAGAGTTAATTAAATTGACTAAAACTATTCATTTCAACGATGAACGATTTTTCTTTTGTTACACATGAATCAGCAATTTTTATGTTTGTTTCTAACATTTATGAGCTTTTCACTCTTTTTGAGATAAAAACGCAAAAATGTGTAATAAAATTAAAAAAAAAAACCTTCAGTTTGAAAAAACTCGACGGCTTTTGTCTAAACGCGCTGATTTTTTCAGTTAATTTTTTGCAAGAAAAAATGCAGTCGAATCATTCTGAACATGTTAAGTTTCGTAAAAAAATCTTATATTTTTGCTCACATTCCTGCCGTGTTTTTTTTTGTGAGAAAAGTAAAAAAAAAACAGAGTAAACCAAATTTTTTAGTTTTTCACAGTTTCCCTCGGGTCTCTTTTCTCATATGTGTTTTCTTGGATGATACTGACTAGATCTATTCTAAAATGTTTTGAGACCTTATTTGTAGCCGAAAAAATCTCTTTTTCAGCAAATACATTATTTTGTTTTGTAAATTAAGATAATTTAATACAACAGATCTCTAACTTGGTTTCTAGGAAATTGATAATAAAAGCAAAATTGATTTAATTTTTTTTGTTAGCGACTAGTTTTTGCTATAGAGTTTTTCACAATACTGTCAAACGGCCTGAAGAAAATAGTTTTCGTCTCAGTTCGGGTTCATTTGACTTACTATGCACTCCTGGATACCTCTTGGGCATTTTCTCGTTTCCATAATAATACATAAATGACGAATTGGGCATAGAATTGAGACCGTAACAAAATCCAGCTATTGTAACGCTCCTGCACATGTTTAAAGCCACTTGAACAGCTACAAAACCAGTGGTGCTTCTTGAATTAGTGGTGTTTTGGTTTTGATTGGACCTATTGAACAGTTGTTCCGAGATTTCAGGGTTGATTATCATGATTTTGTCTGCTTTAACTGGTATTTCTAGAGGACTTTTCTGCCAAAATTTCATCGGCTTTCGTAAACTCGGTTGAATTAACTGAGACACCCAATTGATGTCGTCTTCTTTAAATAAGGCAACTGCAACTGCGCCTTCTCCTATGCAAATTATGAACATTTAAATCATTTACACTAACTTCGGCTCTTTTTCTTTGCCCCCCCACCTGCAATTTTTTACTAGTAAAGTTACTGTTCACATTGTCCGATCATTATGAAAATTGACATGCGGACTAATTAGGATGAGCCAAACACATTTGGTCTTTCATATTTAACCTTGTAAAACCACTCGTTACACCATAAAATTTATGGTCGTCGGAGGTGGGTGGGGGGGGGGGGGGTTTGGGGGATAAAAAGAGCCTTAAATTCTTATTAGTTTTCAAATTTTTTTAAACTGAGCTGTAAAACAAGGCTCGGACCAAGTTAAGGCTCGTTTTCCAGGCCTCATACCCCCCCGCCCCCAACTCATATCAGCATCAATTTTATGGTGTAATGAGGGTTTTTACAAGGTTAATTATGAAGACCAAATATGTTTGTCATGGGCTCTTTTTCCTTTTCCCCCCCACCTCAGACGAGCTTCAATTTTTTAGTGTAACGAGTGGTTTTACGAGGTTAATTATGAAGACCAAATATGTTTGTCATGGCCTAATTAGTCTATATGTCAATTTTCATAACAATCGGACAATGTGGTCAACAAACTTACTTGTAAAAATTTGCAGGTGGGGGGGGGAAGGAAAAAGAGCCATGTCATGGCCTTATTAGTTAGCATGTCAATTTTCATGATAATTAATCGGTTGGTAGGAACAGTAATTTTAATTGTAAAATTTGCAGGTGGGGGGGGGAAGGGGTAAAGGAAAAAGAGCCCAAGTTACCATCCTCCCCATCCCCCAAACCACTTGGGGGGGGGGGGGTGTTATCGTGGTTCTAATTTGAAACTTTCAGCCAATCAAAATCGGAAATTTAACAGCAGCGCATTGAAAACCAAATTGAATGCTGGGGTGGAAGGTCTTAACTTGATCCCGAGGCTCTAGATTAATACGACGACAGGACATTAAGACGACATGATATAGTTATTACCAATATCCTATACTATTGTACAAATTTGTGAACCTGATAACAATTTATTATTGTTTTGACTAAAGTACGATTAAGACAATTTATCCACAAGGGAAAGGACCAACATACGAGCTTTTCAGTTCATAACGGAGAACCGCTGTTGTGCCCCTGCGTATGAACTACATGCATTTTTTATTATGATTATTATGACAATAGGACGACAATTCAGCGATAAAAAACATTTAAAATAAACTGTTGGCATTTAGTAGGTTATTTCTCAGAAACACATTCGTAGATTTGCTTGTAGCGTCGTCTTAAAGTCCCATCAAAAAGGGTTGTCGTCTTAACAGCTGTCGTCTAAATTGCCAGAAACCGTAAAAACACGCTTTGAACTGGTTAAAATCACACGCTGTGGTAAACTAGCTATTTTTTTTTTCATAAAACAACCAATGGACAAACTGGGATCCTCATAGGCACTAAAAACACTAAACATCTAATTTGATTTTAGAAATCTTAAGATTGGAAAGAAAAATTCGTTTCCTTCTCTATCTTTTTTGGCTCTTTTCCAGTTCCCCCCTTTTGACTTTTTCTGAAATTCAATTTATAAAAGTCTATTTAAAATGACTTTTCATGTTATAAACTGCATCAAAACGTGTCAGCGTGAACAGGTGAACAAATTTTTACAACATGTCTTTCATTCGAAATTTCGTATGATCAACTCTTCTGAAAAGCTTTATTTTGCTATTTTACGAGGGGGTGGGAAACTGGAACAGAGCCCTTTTTTATCTATAGTTATTTTGCGTATTGTTATGGGAAGGGAGGGGTTATGGTGATGGAAAAAAGCTTCAAAAATAAGTTGAATCATTTGTTTTTTTTATCTGTAAAGTTCAAATGCTCATTTTTGCCTTGGTAGAATTCCAAGGTTGTAGGTGCTGATTCAGGATACAGCACCCTCAAGTCTGTTTTGGAACCGACATCCTTCTCGTACCCTTTGATGGGCGCCTTGTTTAATCGTATCACGACAGGGAAAGAATCAATAAAAGAACCCTGGCGTTTGGAGCGTAAACACGAGCCTGAGCCTACCACTATGCATTTAGAGTGTCGAGCTTTTTTCACAACTGGATTTTCAGCGGGGTCTTTCAGCAAACTCAAAGCTTGAGAAAAAACCTTTTGTTCAATTTTCTTATTCTTTTCTATCTGCACAAATGTGGAGTTTTGCCGCCCAGTTGAATTTAAAAACTGTTTAAACGAAGTATTGGAGAGAAAGGGGTAAGCATTGACTTCATAATCTGAAATGACCTTCGTTGAATTGTGATTCAGATGTGAAGTTTTGTTCTCTGAAAATAAAGATGAGTTCATAAATCGATGGAGTAAACTTGGTCTCATCTGATAATTATGGGTCACATTCTGACTGGATAGAAGAAAAAAACATACTAATGCTAGAACTGAAAAGGAAATAGAAATTTGCAATAACAGTCGGTATGTTGTCGGATTAGCAGAAGATAAAGGAATATAAATAACAGAAGTCATTTTTTCTAAGTTTCACGACCAAAGTGTATAACTAGAAAGCAATTTAAATAATTAACCTAATCCCAAAATTTGTAACACGATAAGATGAGCTTGAATTAAAAGAAAATGCGCCGATAAACGCAACACCTGAAATATAATATGAATTATATATTTTCTGAAGTGCAAAACATTAAATAATAAATATACCACGTGGTTATTTTGATTTTATAAACTTTACTTTTCTCACAGTCGAATGCTTTCTGTTTGCTTCAAATTTCTATCTTATTTTTTATTTATGTGGTTTTTAAATGATTTTTTTTCCTTTTTAATCATTTGTAAAGAGGAATCCTTTGGAGAATTTTAAAAAATTAAAAAAGATGGCTGCCATAAGCAAGACAGATAATTTTTTTTCAAAAACAGCCCAACCGTTACAACATTTTTGCTTACGCGACTGTTTCTCGGATTTAAAAAGACTTCTTCAAAGATTGGATAAATCGTAGAAATGATGGTATTTTTACTCAAATGCTCTTACTAGAATTCATAGCGAGAAAAACCAAGGACATAACTTATGATTTTTGTGGTGATCGAGTGCGTGGAAAAAGTGAAAAATTAAATATCGTATCAAAGTTTGGGCTTTTTTTCAGTCCCCCTTCTGATATTTTCTGAAATTCATTATTTGAAAATCTATTTAAAATGACTTTTCATGTTATAAACTGCACTAAAACGAGTCAGCGTGAATAGATGAACTAAATTCTACAACATTTATAACAAGAAAAATGCCGTGTCAACAATTTTTTGAACATCTTCATTTTGTAATTTTACGAAGGGGGTGGGAAACTGGAAAAGAGCCCCAAGATGTTCAGACTCTGTTTTAAAAGTGATTTATTGTTCCGATTTTTTTAACGAAACTAACGTAATATTTGTGTTCGGGGTGGTTTTTCTCTTCAGACAAATGTCGACTTTTTAACTAATCACTTTTGACGGAATTTTTAAATATCATTCAAGGTATTAATGTCCTGAGCATAAATTTGAAAAGATATTTCACCTGTGGCAATTTGGGGGTTTAAAGATTGCCATTTTGGCTAATTTGGGACAATTAAAGCGCAATAGGTTTTGCGCTATTAACACGTAAGCGGAGATTTAATAACACATAAGCGGAGAACTTAAAAGACAGTTAGAAGATTCGGTGCTTCAACCTGATACGAGCAGTCTAGTTATCATTTTCATTTTGTGGACTTTATGACGTTGAATTCTGCTTTTAATCTTTTTTAACTTGTAACTTCCGATTGTTACAAACTGAAATGTTGCCAATCAACCAGCTACCCGAAACCGATCTACCTCAGAACGGAAAAGAGACAGAAATATCAATATTTTCAGCTAACGATGAACGATGCTACACAATATACAAAGTTGCTCGCATATCAGGGCCAAGCCCTGCATGCTCCGATTACCCTTAACTGGTATCGAGATAACCTATAATTTCAGACTGTCAGTATTGTTAAAGTGGTACACAGTTTTTAGCTTGCCTGACTTCAATTTGAAAGAATCTCAAGCACTGGATAGTACGTCACGAAAACTTAATTCATTTTCCAAAAGAATTAAGTATTGAACGGCCAGTTTTCAACCGTAAGTACGTTAATGCAAGCAAACTCGCATAGTAATCCTATAGTTACAGCATCAACCCGCACGTGATGAAAGTTTTTGGTGAAATTGGTTTATAAAAAGCCACCCTGAGCATATATATACTCCTCGCTTTATTCAAAAGTCGAAACAATGGGAAATTACTGTAAGTTTTAAATGGTATTTGATGGAATAATCAAACCGCAGTAATGGAACAAAGATAAAATAAATGTTTATGAAAAGTAGGCCAAATGATCAAAACAATTGTCACAAGATGAGTTTTTGTTACCGTAGTTTCGTCAATGATTTGTCAGTAGTTATAGAGAAATGTTGTTAAAAAAAGTGTACCATTAAAAATTTGCTGTTACAATTCGCCTAAATTTTTTAAACGCATAATTTTGCAGAATGTACAATTAATCGATTTGGCCGAATTTAGAGTTGCGTCGTTTTTAGTTTGAATCGATTGGAGCAGTATTTGGTTTCGGTTTTCAGAATTTTTGTTTTGAGTGGTACAAGACGCTAAAAATTTTCTCAGGTTAGTTTGAAAAACAACCAGAAGTCATAGTTTGACCAAAATTCATATTTTGATCAAAATCCATAATGGAGCAACAACGCATAAAATAAACTGAGTCGAACATCAAACTAAGTCAAAAATGTCAAAGTGAATTTCAAAATTTGATCAAAAGCCCATAAACGCACGGGCATTTAGTCGAGCTGAAACCCAAAAATTTAAGTCAAACCGAAATGTTTTTTTTTTGTGTGAAATTTTGTACGATTTTGTCCGCTTGCAATACTATATATTAAAAGCAGATGCACTTATCAGAATTTTTCATTATGATTTTACTTTTAATGTGCAGTTAGCTAAACTGGCAGATGTTTTGACCATGAAGAAGACCACCACAAGAGCGTCTACAAATGGTCCCAAAATCAAATAAAAGAAATAATTTTAGGCAACAATAAATTCGCTTCTATAAAAACAAATGGCTTAGACATAATCCAAATTTCAGTTTCTGTAAAAACAAATTGTTTTTTTTTGCCCACAATAAGAAAAATAAAATTGTTTTACTTTATTTAAACACTTTTTTTGTTATTCTACGGCTTGGAAAGAATTTGTGTTTTTGCCAATTGTTTCAAGATTCAAAAAACGAACAAACTGATCTCCGACTAAATTTCATTAGTTTTACTTGTTTGGGAAATCCGAAAAAAAAATGTTTTGAGCAAATGTTAATGCCAGGTGTTTTTGTGGACTAGCTGGGGGTTGCACCAGCTTACAAAAAAAATTGTGTCATTTCTCCAACACTCAGAAAAACTGAATTATGCATTCTGCCAGAGGTCAACAAAACTGAATATTGTTAACTAAACCGTCACCACCTATTTTACCTGTACATTAACAAAAATTTAACCCCTTTTGCGAACTAAACCAACAATTAAAGATCGGCCAATTTGGTACCTTGTAGTTAAAGATAGTTGTCAAGATCAAAAAACGTTTAGAAAAAAATCAAAACTCGCAATCTTTTTTGCTCAAACAATCAATTTGGTCCCAATAGATTTGTCAAAAAGCTCTAATATTTCTTTGCCAAAGTTTTGACCCCTCTTCAGACATATTCTCTCCAACCTATTGGCCATTTTTACTTTATGTTTTAGCGAATTTCTAGTGCTGATTTTTAGGATTTTTTGAAACCATATTGAAAAATCACGACTATTCCAACGTTATTTCGAGAGGCTTGACTTATAAAATGAGAACGCTTGTTTTCCATGTTCCCTCTACTCGTGAATTTTGTTTCGAAAATCTGCTCGCGTCCCAAAAAAGCCATCAGAAGAAAATAGTTTCGATCTTTGGCAGGCATCATAAAATCAGGACTCGATTCGGAGCAAGAAAACAACAAACCTGAAACTTTAAAAATCCTTAGAAACGTTTTGATGATAGTGATTTTTCCCTATTTCATTTTCAAAATAGCAAAACCACTTCTGTAAAATTGTTGTTGATACTTTTTTATATGCTGATAATTTTTTACGAAAGTTTTTTGCTTATAGCTTTTCCGTTTTTTTTGGCAATTGTCTACCAATATGCGAATGAAAATTCTCCAGTTGGTTATACCAATAAAACTTAATTCTGAAAAATAGGCTCAGTAAAAAAATTTTAAAGAAATATCAAGCAGTTTCTAAATGAGCCAAGAAATTTAATATTGGAAGTGAATTCCTGCGCGATTAACAAACAAATTGATGATTTACCAAGCGCTCCTGTTTCAAGTTAAGTTTTTTTTATCCTCAACGGTATTTTTTTCACTTACCTCATCTAGCATTAGCAGCAGATTTTCTTTTTCCTTTGAATGGTAAAATTAATCAAAATCAATGGTACTGAGTCAAAATCAAAATTTTTTCGAATAACTTCGATTTTCTAACCAGCCATTTTTAAATACGATCCAAAACATGTAAAGTTTTTGAGAATTAACTTTATCAGTGATTATATTTCTATAATTTCAAAATAAAGTTTGTCCTAATTTAGGCAAACTGGCACCTTCTAAACAATTCAGCTAACATTTAGTGCTACTAAGACGTAAGCGTTGATTTGATCCGGTCAAAAATCGTTCCAAATTGAACTGAGGCGAGCAATTTGGAACGTAAATACGCTGATAGTCGCTAACTACATGGTTTTGTATTCTAGCTTGTGCGTGTAGAAGTGGTTTAAAAAAATTTTTAACTAAATTTTTTGTTTTATTTTAATTTTTTTTGAAATTTTATCAGCTTGGACTTCTGTTTTGAATTGGGTACCTATTTATTGCTTAAACTTTTAGAACGTTGATTTCCTTGTCACCGTATTATGTTTTTGCCAATGAAATGCTAATATAGCAATTTACGGAGTTTTACGGAAAACATATGAAGAACTTTCCGGAAAATGCGTTTTTTTGTTTTCATTTAATTCTTTTTTACTCTTTGAGTTAAGGCGCTATCATTACACTTTGTTCTAAATAATTTTAACTAATCACAAATGTTTACCAACTAAAGCGCTTGGATCAGCTTATACAACTCGTTTTTCCAATCGGTATTTAATTTCGCCATCTATGAGATATATATCAGGAAAGACTAGCAAGTTTCAGAAAAAAATTAGAATGGACTACCACAAAATACAATTTTTATTTGCAATTATTATTTATGTTAATGGAAATACTAATAGCGGAGTTCATGAGTGCCGAAGTACAAAAGAGCCGAAAATGATAAAGCCCAAGAGTGACAAAATTTATTTAGATAATGAGGTTTCAAAATGAACAAAGCCAAAATAATCAATAGATAGTATTTTTTTCGGTGCTCATGAACTTCAACACACCTGAGCGCCCCTTTATAATTATTTTTGTGTGCAATTTTTGTCTAGACGAAGTAAGAAAAGCTCAGAAGGCGAATAAAAAATTACTCCAAGTAGTCAAGCTTTAACATAAAAACCCTGGTTATTTGACCAAATATTAGACTAATTGCTACTTGAAATTTAATTTTATCTGCCACTTACTTACCTTGCTACATTTTAGAATAAGGAAATGTTAAAGATGAGCTGAACTTCATAATTTGAATCTCAAGGAGAACAAACAAGATATCACATTTGCAAAGAGTTTGAAAATTTGTTATGCAAATATAATCGAAGACAACGAAAGCAATAAATTAAAAGTCTTCGAAACGTAGAAAAAACTTTGTATAGAAGCATAAATATATACCCGGCTATCCGTCTGATTCCAGACCATAAAATAAAAGTAATTTTTAAGCTCAGCTTTAACAAAAAATATAATATCAAAGTAAGGATTTTGAATGAAATGCGTAAGACATCGGAAAGAATCTGCATTTTTAATAGAAATAGTTGAAAATAAATATTTATTTATAATTTGACTTTTGTCACTGTAAAATTTTAATAAGAAACTAATCATGATCCATGACTAAAATTTACGATAAATTGCAAAGCTGAAACTATTCATAGTTTCAGCTAGAGAATAAAATAATTAAGATAAGAATCAGTTGCTTTCTTCCCCCCTATAACCTCGCAAAAAAACCAGTATATAACTAGATCTATTGAGAACAGGGAAATATAAGAGTTAAATTATGATTGGTATTAGACTAAGGAGTTGCACGAACCTATCCGGCTGAAAATAGATAGCGTGACGAACAAACGGTGTACCCTCATCCAAAGTTACTCTATGAGAAGGCCACCTCGGACCTAAACTCACTAGATACAGTTGAACAAACAAACAAACCTCGAGGACAATTTCACTTCTGGTAAGTTCCTGAATGATACGGAAGCCCTAAAAAGTGTTCAAAAAAGAGAAAAAACGTTTAGACACTATGTTGAAGAAGAACATTTAGACTTTTCTCTCATGATACAGAATTAGTAAAAAAAACAAATAATGGAGAAAACTCGCAGCACTCTCCTAGAATATGAAAACTACAAAAACGAGAGATTTCGCGCCAGCAGACTTAACCAAAAAATGTTTCTGCAACCAAAAAACTTTCTTTCCAACTTCGTTCCACTAAAAAAGTGTGCGCAAAGAAAAAAATCACTTTTAATTTCAAAGTTAGGGGCATCATTGATTCTCAGACCAAAATTGCCACTTTCAGGCGAAAATTGCCTGACAAAAATCACCAAGTTTCTTTTAAAAATTGCCAGCAAAACATTTGAGTTCGCCTGGAGAAAAAAAACACTCCGAGCGCAAACATTCCGTAACTTTCTTCAAAAATAGGAACTACACAAATTTGTATTAGCTTGCCTCGTATCAATTTGAAGTAATTCTTGAGCTGGACTAATTCCCACTTACGTACGTTAGTAAAAATAACGAAAACCGTATGGTAAGCTCTTTCAGACAATCGACTATTTATCAGACTAAGCGACTAAAAAATGAGTCGAAACTCTTGCTTCAAACGAGGCATCTGCAAGTTGCGAACGCTTGCTTCATTCTATTGTTCTCATGTTCGGCAGCAGTGCTACTGTGCGCGTGAATCAGTGTTTTGCGCCTAACTTAGATAGTTTTGCATTTGGAAATGATAAAAACGTTTCACAGAACTCGCTTTTTCGTCAGAAGATTTTTTGACGTCTGTTAATCAAATATGCAATATTTGCTTTACTTTGATCTTCTAGATAATTCTGTTTCATGTTTTCTGTTTCAAAATTGCTTTGCTAAAAAACAGGTCACTAAAAGGGGTCAGACTTATGCTAACAAAATGCACACCATATAAAATTGAACGATTGAGTAAACAAAACCAAGACAATTTCATCCTCTCCTTTTCACGTACTGTTATATTTTTGTTATAGTTATTGCATTTGAATTTAATTAGTTTATTATAGAAATTTCACATCGGCAAACTTCAAGGCACTATAACGTTTGTAAAATAATTGCAGCTTAAATATTCCTTTGAACAAAAGATATCAGTATCTTTTCGATGGGGTTTAAAAAAAAACGAACCAAACTGATCTTAAAAAGTGCTAATTTATCTGGAAAAAAAATCATGTTGCTCATAAATATTTTGAAACTCTTTTAAAGTCATGTTGCCTTTTTTGGTTTGTCAAAGTTTTAATAAAAATTTTCAAAAGCGAGCTTCTAACACAGAGCTGGAGCGTAGCTTCGCATAACTTGCGATACAATGCCAGCGCAGCAATGCAAACAATACAATGCAAGCGAATAAATAATGAGACGGAAGAAAACAAAAACGCCAGGGGAAGAAAACAAAAATAAAAAGACACAAGTTTAAAATGAGCTTTTAGGATTTACCGAAGGGGCACTAAGCCAACGACCATTAACCCGAAAACAAAAAATTCCAAAAAAAAACTGTTTATAATACGGTACAATTTTTCGGGCAATTAGGTTTTAAAACTTTGAAATCATTTAATCTATCAGTTTTGCTTTTGAAGTGACACAATTTAAGTTAAATAAGTCGATGAAAAAAATCAAGACGAAAATTAAATCAAATAGAAATTTTAAACGAAAAAAAAAGGCTTTTAAATGTATCAGGGCTTTTAAATTATGCAAATTACAGAAGTGAATCAAAAACACTTGCATATACGATAAAAATTTGTGACATTACAGAAAACTCCCTGATGTGGTAACCAAGTCGATAAATATAAGCAGACAAGCGAAAGTCCCATAACGAGGCCAAACTGTGTATTTTGTGAATTGTGAGCGGATCTCGCATCATTGACAATGCCTTTGTTCTTTCTTTGTTTTTTTAATTCTCGTTGATCGTTCCGAAAAAAATTTCAAATGTTTAAAAATTTGTCTATGGATTCCAGAGACACACAAACACCAAATTATGCGCCAACTGTGCACCATATGTCCTTGTAATGCCGTTAATTTAATTTTTCCCGGGGAAAAGTTCACACATCTTGAAAACAACAAGGTCCGATCGAGACTCAAATCCTTCACCCAAACATACGAAGGCACCCGCGTTACTTCTAGGCCAAATAGAAAAAATTTCAGAAGTTGCTACGATTCTCTAATAAAACAATTTCACAATTTTTGTACAGATTTTTTTTTTACAGTGTTCCCGATTACTAGACTTTTGCCATCGCAAGTTTGAGCATAGCAAAAAAACAGTTGGAAAAATGTCAATGAGCTCAGGTAAAAAAAAACAAAAAAAATTTCTCGTTTTTCGAATTTTTTTTTTAGAAATTTGAAGAAAAAATTTATATCACGTTGAAGTTCATCAAATTTTCAGATTATGTTTTAACATCATAAAATTTTTCCAAGTAGAGAAAACTGGATCAAAGTCATTCACTTTATTTCGCTTTTCTAACTGATGAATGTAATTTGCCTTCCTTTCAAGAAAGTGAATTTGATTGGAACGTAAAATCAACTCAAAAGTCAAACCGTAAACGATCAATTTTTTCTCATTATTCTGTTCATATTAGTTTAAAAAACATATGGCTCAACCAAGTATTGATTTTTACAATTTGGGGGGGGGGGGTTTAATTTGCTCGATGAGAGCCCTAATGAGAAAGCTAAAGCTAGTACAAATACTAACTAATTTCTTCGCATAAAGCCAAGTAAAATCGAAAAAAATATATTGCGTAACGTCTATGTTAAAATAAATTGTGAAATCAAGGTAATATAAGTTACGATAAAGTGCAAGATTAAGATTTTGAAATTTAGCACAGGAAAGTGTATTTGGAGACGCGAATAAGTAAAGCAATTCAAGACTGGTTACTTGCTAAGGCATTTTTACCTTTTTTCAATCCAATTTTGTTAGCTCTGCTGAAAATACCAACTGTACCCTTTATAAGAGCTAGATAGACATAGCGCACTGTTTTATACGTAAAGCAGATGAAAGTATATTTTATATGGGCATTTCATTCACGCCGTAAGGTAGGAAAAGGAAGCATTCTATGGAAAAAAAACAAAAGCAACAGTTTACTATTTTATGAACGAGAAAAAATGCTCGCAGTTAATTTGTATTTCAAATATTGTGGTTTCATTTTATTCAACTTAGTGTTTTAAATTTCAGAAAAAAAACTATTTAAAGCTTAGCAACTGAAACGCTGAATTGCATTTTTTTTAATATGGGGGCTGCTGAAATATCAGATTACCTGAGGAAAGACGGCCCGGTCAAGAAAAAAAAACAACAACGATATAGCAAAGCAAGCGCTTTTTAGCTGGAACCCCAAGGGTCGGGCAGGCAATGAAAGCCAGAAAATGCATAAAGAAGGAGCATTTAAATAAAACCGATGAAAGGGAGACTGACTGTGCTGAGATCAAATGAAACTGATTTTGACGGGACGATGAAAAAAGACTCACCAAAGATCGAAATGCATTTTAAGCCACCATGCTCTTCAAGGATTGAAGACAATTAATTCATTCAGTTTGAAATTATTTAGTTTGGATTTTTTCTGAGTTGGATCATTTCGGTGCCTCGATTACGCGTTGCCAGAAGACGCGTTGCTAGTAATTTCGCGTTGCGAAAAATTTCGCAATCATTTAGTATCACAATTCACTCGTGGTTGACCTCCACGTAAAGAAAATGCTAGTCATGTCATACAATTTCAAAGATACCGCTTATGAAAAAATGTCATGACACAGAGGCAAAGCGGAACTTCGCGCCACTTGCGATACCACACAGGCATAGCAAGGCAAGCTAGCAGATAGAAAATGAAGCAAAAGCTACAAAACAATACATTAAAAAAAACCATAAAAACAAAGGTTTCAGAAATTTGTCTGGATGATGTTCAATTTGATGAAAACAAATCCACAAACACATGTAACACTCGTGTTTGTAACTTTATTTCTCAAAATTTTTGGGATGTTCGTGACCGAACACAATGACTAAAACCATGGTTTGCTCAAAACTAGAGTCACCAAAGGGATGATCGTCTAGCATTTACAATTCATTGGAAACGACCTGAATTGTGTAAGAGTTCTCTTCGTAAATCATACACTAAAAGCATCAAACTTTTAAATTTTGGCGGTCATTTTCAAAGAGGATGAGTTTTCAGCCTGTTTGAAAAAAGTTATCCGGAGAAACGGAAAAAAATCCAATTTTTGTGTATCCAGGACTACGTTATGCAGGCAAACAATTAAAATTTCATGCAAAAATTTTTTTTGCAAAATGTTTGTTTGAGTACAAAATTCAATTTGCGGTTGAAAAAAAATTTAGGGCAATTTCAATATTACTTAGAAAAATTTTTGTTGTCGCCATCAAAAAAATGCTAGTCATACAATTTTCATATATGGAAATTGTATGATAACATTTTTTTTCCAAATAAAGAAACATAGTTTTTTTTTCATCACGAGACTGTTTTATTTGGTTCAAATTGCCGCAGAAACCAGTTTGAATCTTTTTTCAATGAGTTTTTGAAATTGTATCAAAATTGTATGACTAGCATTTTTCCATACATTTGATGTATGGAATTGTAAGATAATCATTTTCGGTTTGTGGAGGTCAACCCGTGTTTAGTATTCAGACACAATAATTGAGCGGCAGCCAAGCCGAAAAAATTTAGTCTCCCGCTGAGAAAAATTGTCTTCAATTGAAAACCTGTTTTATAAAACAAAAATTGCCTGTAAATCTAATTTTTTTCAATTGAAAGTTTTGGAAAAAAATCTTGTAAATCAAGATTGTGTTCAGTTGAAAAACTTTTGAAAAAAAATATTCTGAAAATCTAAACTTTTACGCCCTTCCCCGTACGGAAACACACAAAAGCATAAAAGTCTATTTTACCTTTAAAACAACGCTATATTAGGCCACTTTTGTGATAAAACATAAGCCGAAACCATTGTGACCAATCAAAGTTTTTAAGCAAAAAACAAACAAGATAAAACTACAAAATTAGTAATTTTACAAATTACAGTAACAGATCATAATTCTTTCACTTACAATAAAAACAAATTACAGAACACCAAAATTTTTTGAAACAGAAAAATTAACAATGACATATTTCGAAACAGAAAAATTTACTTACGCATAAAAAAGCAGGCTCTCGCCAATTTCGAATATAAGACCTGTACCACGTCAGGCGTAGTACTTTTCTCAAAAAACGTGTTTGCTGGAAAAGCGAAGAATGGATTTTAGCCCAGCTATCATATATTTTAACTATTTGTAAAACAAGAAATATCCGTGTTGCGACAACTAAGCCGAAAAAACTTAATCAGACAACCGACAGGGCGAAACTTTTTTGAAACAGAATTTTTTATCTTGGAGTTTTGAAAAACAAAACTGCCTGGATTTGAACCCACGACAATTGCAATCGCAGGCGTAGTAGTTAACTCTAGTCCAATTATTCCGGAGAAACGAAGATATTTGAATTTATTGTCAATATCAAGAGCACTGATATAGTTTCTTAGAAGTATTTTAAGTAGTAGACCGGTAGCTTAAATTAAATTTTCAAGAACTTGAGCATAATCGTAACGGAGAGCACGTGAATGAAGTCGAGCTATTCAAATGAATTTTTAAATAATTGTTAACTCGAAAAAAGTCTATATTCTCATGTGATAAGGCTTACTAACCAAAATTCGCAATTCACTCACAGCAAAGTAAAACATTTTGAACAGTCAAAACATAAGGTTTTTATGTTCTTTTTTTCAAGATTTTGTAAGTATAGCAGAAAGTTCCCATGAGAAAAATTATTGCTTCAAAATCAATACAAAACAGGGACTGACTAAACAAAAAAAACCCCACACTTACTCATTATAATTTTTAGCGGAATTGTTTCCTCATTCACTGCCATAGCAAAATATTTTTCTGATTAGTTATGAAAGATCTACTATACTTCTGGCTGTTTTATTCAACTTAACCGGTCAATTCAGTTACCCTAAAGCACCTTGGCTACAAATTGCTGCCCAACTCTTTGTAGTTTGTAGAAAAAAGAATTCATAGTCCACAAATTAATGTTATCAAACATTCTAGTTTTCTTCTGACCCTTAGTGTAGTTGCACACCACGAGGATCTCAAGACCAGGTGGAACATATTATTTAACACTAGCGCAAGACTCGCACAGACGATTCTTCAAATAGATCGTTGAACGTCGAAACAGATTCCGAATGTATGTACCAAAACAGCGATATTTAAAACAACCTTGAAGATAAGCTGGGCTCATCTATCATGAGTTTCTTTTTTAATCAAAAACGCCATATCTTGATAACCAAAATGATTTGAGCAGATGAAATTAGAGGTCAGATTTGCTGCTCTATATTGTTCCCTGACAGCATCGCACTAAAGGGTTAAGAATTTCAGTTTCTTGTAGTTAGTTTTAAATCGAAGTTTTAAATTGAAAAAAAAGATTGAAAAAATCATGAGAAAAGCCAAATCTCGGAAACCTGAAAAGAGCTGAGCAGTAAAAAGTAGAGGCCGGATTTGTACCCTGACAACGCCCCCTGAAAAAACCCTGGCCGATCCCCACCATTACGGTTGAGAATTTTGAGATCGGCGAGTTTTTTTAATTCAATTTTTTAAGCAAAATCAAAAAAGCACAATTCGCCATATCTCGAAAACTAAAAAGATTTAAGCAGCCAATCCAGTGCGTTTAGTTTTTTTTAAACTAAGTTTTGAACAAAACATTTCGAGACAAACCCACCCTGGTGGAATCGACACCCTCGGCATTAAAAAATCAAGATGACGGATAAAAATCCATTAAAAAGATCAAAAGTTTTCAAATTAAAAAAGGTGACAAAGTACAAAAAATAGAGAGCCAAAATAGAGCCAAATTTGTGCTAAATGCGTAAAACCGTCAGCGAGTTTTTCGATAATCTATCGGTTTGGTTTCTAACAAAATTAATTTTTTTTTTCAATCATAGTATTATCATCTCGTGTCTTGTTCATTATGTGGATATTTGCGAACAACCAAAAAACATCTTTCAAAATGTGCAAAATTTTAAATTTTAAGCAAAAACTTTGTTACAAAATGTTTTCATTTTTTGAGAAAATTTCATGTTTTAAGTAACAATTTACAAATAGAGCAGCTACCAGCTTATTTTCCTTTAAGTTTTTTTCAGCCTCAAAGCTTTTGATAAAAAATTCAAATCTTGTTATTTTGCTATTTAAGGTATACTACACAAGTTTCACAGACAATGCAGGAATTTCAGTAACCTTCTAAATTCATATTGCCAATAAAAACCATGCTTTAACTAGCTGAACCAATCGGCTTTGAAGAAATCCAGCAATTTTGAATTCAAACAGAAACAAAGATAGCCGGCTACAATGTAAACAGTTCAGAATGTTCCGACAATAGTCTCAAAATAATACACTTTTTTCATATTAGTGTCGTTTTTCTGTGTGGTGTGACAAAAAATCTGAACAAAAAATAGAAATGAGGCTCATTCGACAAACAAACAAATAGGACAACTGGAAAAAGTTTCGCAGAAACAGGCGAAAAAAAAAACGGAAATCGTAAAAAAAATTTTCTATTATTTTGCAGATTATTTTTGAACCCATGTTGATTACCAAAACTTTGCTAAAATCTCCAAAAACTAAGTTTGCTCGAGTGAAACTAAATTTTAACGCCTTAAATAAGCTAGCTGCAAGCTGACCTTATTAGCTCGAAATTAGTGTTTGTCAAGACTGAGAAAAAATGTTCGAACTTTTTAGTGTCATTCAAGTCAAGACCAAAAGGGTTTTAATATGGTAACTAATTCCATCCAATCCCAAGATTTATAAAGGTACCTAATTATGCGTGGAAAAACTCAAATTCTCCCGAATACAGAGTTTCTCCGCGTTTTTCAAATGGTCGGAACAATAAGTATTCATAATTGAAGCATACTAACAATCAAATTTTTTTGGTGGAACGACGTCAAAGTTAAAATTTTCCATTCTGGATAAAAAAAATGGTTTTTATATTTTTTTCGACAGATTATATATTAACTAGGCATCATTCTATGAAACCAAACATGAGAAAAACATTTTTCACAAGATTGAAATTTTATTGGAAAAATTTCATTGCTAAAAATAGTAATATTGCAAATTGGTTTTTGTATCAGAGCACTTCGAAGCTCATTTTTACTAAACTCATTTTGAGCAAAAAAGAACTTAACACAAATTTATACCAAGAGTTATTTCATGAATCTTAACAACTTTCGAATCCTATCTGTATCTAGTGTGCCATAAATTGGATATTCTGACTGGAATTCAGTTTTGTTTAAAGCATAAATGATAAAGATATTTCTCAGTTTGGCACGTTTTCTCAAAATGAAATCTTTTAATTAAGCAAGGATATCTGGTTGTTTATTTTGCTCTTGGCTTATTTTTCGAGGAGTTATTTTTGGTATTCCTTTTTGAAAACCAGGACCGAGCCAACTTCATGATGAAATCCAATTATCGGAGCCCGAGCTATCTAAAATTTTTTTGTTATAAATGCTCCTTTGACGCCAATATTTTCCAAATTTAAAGTGAACATGAAAAAGTGCCCCAAAACGTTATTGTTGGCACGGTTCCGCTAACAATTCAAATTATTGGCCAATTGACGCTTTCAAAGAAACTTTTTAAGGTTTTGAACAGGGTAAATTTTTCCAACCTGTTCTTTCAATATCTACAAAGAAGAATGATATAACATTTGAAAACAAGAAAAGATTAACCGACGACTCTAATGGATTGCAGCTTATTGCCTGGCTCACGTCTTTTTAGCACGTATTAGCAGTATTTCTCCAATCTTTTGCTTGAAACCTTGGTAATTTTGAAAATATGAGTAAATTTTGCAATTCTAAAATATTATTTTATATTTCTATAATTCACCCTAATTTGAAAAATTTTCAGAATTTTATTTACAATATCAACACTATATACATAAGGCGATAATACGAATTATATATATTTCAAAAAATGAAACAAAAATAAAATCAACAGTCCTTTATTTGAGGGTTAGAGATCAGTTATGATTCTTTTTTTCTTAACTTCAAGTGGTGCTAGCTACCGCTGACTTGTCCATTTCGTGACGCCTTTTCAGTTCTTCCAGCCTCTGCATATCTTGAGTCATAGGCGGCGACTCCTCGTCATCGTCATGTTCGTTTTTGTACTCCGGCTGTTTCGGTTTCGGTACACTTTTCGAATACTCCAGCCCGACTTTCCTTCTCGACAACCTATTCTGCTTAATATCACTCGGCTTTTCAAACTTGTTCATCGTCTTGATATGGTGCATATTTTGTTCATGCACCACTTTCGCATATGAAGATTGTTTATCCCTGACTTTTCTTCGCTCCTCTATTTTATCAAACTCGGGTCCCAAATGGACGGGAAGTTTAACATCCAGATTCAGGTTCTTGTAATCTTCCAGCGTATACGGTTTATAAAACACCGGTTTCGGCGGCTGTTGACTTGGTGTTTTATTTTGCATTTGTTGCTGTTTTCGTTGAGGCGATACATCGGTTTTCGGGTGCGTGTCCTGATTATTTTGCCTCTGATTTTTGGCGTTCTGGGGAATCGGCGGGATCTTGGAGTAAGGGTTAGGTTCCTTTGGTTTCGCTTGGCCTCTTCGCTCGTCAGTGTAGTTATTTATCATCGGTTCTTGCATAGCGACATTTCGTCTGTGCGTTTGTCTTTCCTGTTCGTGCTGATTTCTGTTCGAAAACGGAGCTTCGTTTGACTCTCTGATCGCTTTTTGCTGTGCATTCCTTCGTCTATCTGGTGACTTATCAGTTGTTGTATTGATAGTAAAATGTTGACGAGGTGAAAGTGTACTAGGATCGATTCCCAGCATGGCAGCCAATTGTTCAGGAGGAATGTTTAAGTTTATGTCAACTTTCACGTGATGGTTGTCACTGGCGGTGGTTCGAGCCTCGATCAGACCAGTTTCTTTAGATTTCCGCGTTTCTTTTGCCTTTTCAACCTTATTAGTCTGAGAAACTTCTGGTTCACTTTTGACTTTCTTAGTCTTCAAAGCGATGTGCTTGTAGCTTCCTTTTTCTTGCTCTCTTTGAACGGCTTTACTTTTATTTTTTTCTACGAAATCCTTTCCCGGTGGAGGAGCCGGGACCTTTTTAGCTGTAGCGATTTTCGTTTGATGCTGATTCCTATCACCATGTGCGTCCTGCTGCTGCTGCTGTTGAGGTAGCATATGTTGCGGGTACTGTCCCGAGAACATTGGCATACCACCGGGTCCCATCTGCGACGCGTACAGTGTCTGTTCAAGGGGGTGCATGTTACCCCAGGGTACCGGAACAAATGCCACATGAGGATGTCCACCTGGGGGTCCCATTTGAGGCATCCCATTCATACCCGGGTATTGGGGGTACATAGGAGCTCCGTTGCCATAGTATCCGTACTGGTCATCCGAAGTCAAACCATCGTCACTTTCATCTTCCTCGTCTTCATACGTTTCCTCCTCGGAATCCTTAGGCTGTTTGATCCATCTAGGCTTCTTGTGATATCCTCGCAATTGATGCTCTTGAACTTTTTTGATTTGAGGGTCGAATTCATACAGACTTTCGTCGTCTTCTAGATTACTGTCAAGAGTCTCCGCTGAAAAATCACGCACCATCGGCTTCCGAGCGTGCTTTTCCCGTACCTTTTCTTTCTTATGGTGGTTCCGCTGCTGACGATCGTGGCCATTTTGTTCACGGTAACTATCGCCGGCCAGAATTTCCGAGCGGAGTTCGTCTTTGTTCGGGATTGTTCCCTCCACTCGTCTCGGACTTTTCTCTTTCTTCAGTAATTTATTCTTCAATCTTTCTCGCTCTCGTTTCTGTACAACACTTTCGTCTTCAGAATAAACTGAGGTAATATCTGAAAACTCTCGTGTATTTGGCGGAATTGGACTTTTAGGGTAACTCCTGACGTCGTTCTGTTCGTGATATGGTTCCGAAAACGATACATTCGAGTTTTTACTTGGCGTTTGGTTTTGCATTTTGGACCTCTTTTCACTTCCTTCTGCTGAATTCAACACTGTTGGTAGTCTCGATACAGGTTCTCCGGATTTCTTCTTCTCTTGTCGCTTTGCCCATTGATTGTGGTCCAAATACTCGGTATACTTTCTTGGTCCAACTTGAATTTGACCTTTGTTTGGCTTCATTTGTTCACGTTTTTGCTGCTGCTGCAGTCTTCGGTTTCGATCCCAGGCCGCTTCCATGTTTTTATCCTCGTTGTATTTCTTTCTGACTTGATACCCTTTCACACTCGCTTGGATTTGTTCAGCATTATCTTTCTCGTCATTGGTTTTTTTCCTGTCTTTTCGGTCATCGTCGGTACTTCCCAAGTCAGTTCGATCTCTCGAATCATATCTTTTCACATCCTTAACTCTCTCTTTTCGAGTCTGGTATCCTTTCACATGTGCCTGGATCACATCTGCTTCTTTTGAATCCTGGCTATAATTCTGTCTAGTTTGGTATCCCTTGGCACCGGCTTGAATAGCTCCAACATCATCACTATTTACATCATCGCCATTGTCATCCTCTTCTAATCCTTTCCTAGCTCTGTATCCTCTGTAATGAGATTGAATAACAGTCGCCTTTTTATTCATGTGTCGCTGTTTTTCAAGCTCCTTGCGATCTTGGTATCCTCTCACTCGTGCTTGAATTATGTCAGCGTGTTCTTCGTCGTCACTTTCTTTTCCCCCTTTTATGTCGGTTCGTGATTTGTAGCCCCTCGCTGCTGCTTGAATAACTCTAGCGTCGTCGCTTTCGTTTCCGTCGTCAGAACCATCGGATCCTTTCAAATCTTTTCTGGCTCTATAGCCTCTGTAATTTGCCTGAATCACGATCGCTTTTTGGTTCTGTTCTTTCTCTTCTGCGAACTTCTTGCGAGACTTGTAGCCCTTAGCCGCAGCTTGAACCACTTGAACATCATCTTCTTCATTATTATTTTTGTCCAAATCCTTTCTAGTTTTGTAGCCTCGGTAGTTCGCTTGAATCACAGTTGCTTTTTCGTGACGATATTGATCGTCGTTCGCTTCTTTTCGGTTCTTTCGACCTCTAGCGGCGGCTTGAATAATCTCCGCATCTTCATTTTCTGCCTTCGAACTACCTTTACGTTTCGAAATTTCCTTCCGAGTCTTGTGACCTCTATAGTTCGACTGAATTTTCACAGCTGCCCTGTCGCGTTCCAGAAAATCGTCTTCATTTTCGAAATGAGTCTTCACAGAATCTGCTCTAATATGATGCTCACTTACAAACTTTTTCCTTGCTTTGTAACCACGATAACTCGACTGAATAACTTTAGCTTGCTTAGCTCGCTCTCTTTTCGCTTTGTAATCTTTGCGGGCCCTGTATCCCTTGTAATTTTTCTGAATCACTGTCGCATGTTTGTCATGATCGTAACTTTCTGGTACTTGCGAGGGTTCGAAGCCTTCGGGCAGCCGGGTGTTATAATCTTCGTAACTCGATTCATCTTGCGGGAGATAACTACCAGCCACCGGGTGTTGATCTTCGTGAGTTTTTCTGGTGTGATAACCTCTCCAACTTGACTGGATGTTCATCGCATGTTGGTGCGCGTCGGCATCCGGATTGTAATACGGTTGACCAGTGTAAACTGGCTGCCCAGCATCAGTGCTGCCAAATGACATTGTCGGTTCGTTTATCGTCAGTGACCTATCGCGCTGTTGGCTTCTTCTGTTAGAATTGATGTTAGAAGGAGTCATTATGGCTGCGTTCACGTCTTCGTAGCGACTGAAATCATTGTTTGTAACTTCTAAGCTATCTTGCATAACTGAACTATGTACATTATTAGTGCTAAACTGGCTGTGAGGATAGAAATGGTCATCGACTTCGCGTTGATAATTTTGAGGTCCGTTTTGTTGTCCGCAAGGATGGGTTTCGTTTACGTATCTATTGCCCGCGGGGTTATAGCCACCGTATCCCATAGCCGTAGCGTCAACCGAGTCGTAATAAAACGAGGGATCTTCCGTCGGCAATGTGTCGTCATCGGCTAAATACTCCTGGCCACTCGTCGGGTATCCGTTTCCATAAGCATCATCATTTTGATACTCCTGGTTAGACTGTAATGGATACCTTTCAGTGGTCGGATTTGGATCTAGAATCGAGTAGTCCCCATTAACGTCTACATATTGGTAATCAAATGAATCGGAAACACCTGGCGGTCCGTGATTCGCTAGGCGGGATCTGAACTTCGGGTTGTGAGTCGGAGGGTACGGGTTCTGTATCTGCTGAATATTTGGGTCAAATGACGCTTCGATACTGTCGTATAAAATATTGTCGTCGGTCATTTGAAGAGAACATTCAAAGTAAAACTGAAATTAGATTGGTTTTCATTTATCAACCTGCAAATCATTTGAATCAAATTATCTCATAATTCTCACGGTCTGCGCAAATGCTACGTATTCTTCAGTTGCAAAAAGTTTAAAACAAAATAGAATCACTTTGAAAAATATCGTAATAAATTCGAAAGCTACAACAGAAAATAAATAAAACGATGGTGTAACAAACACAAAGCCGACAGTGATTAACAATTGAAAATCAAGCTCGGTCGCTGAGAACACTTACACTTCTATTATGAATGTAATAAATGAACTGATATGAGCTTGCTTCAAACCGTTCTCACCAAATTTCATTAAAACAATAAATAGCACTTCAAAAAAACAAAACAAGGCCCATTTTCTAATCGTTCGCAGCCCTGAGGGAAAAACATTAAAATTAGTCTAAATACAGTTGGAAAAGTGTGAATGATCTTAACGAGACCCAACAAAAGGATAGTTTTTTTTGAAGAACTTTAATTTTTTCAAACATCTCAAAGACAAAAAAACGGGGTGCATACAGTAAACCGATGTGTCAGTAAATTACCAGATCAGTAAACCGATTTACGTAATAATTACATCAATTGGTTTTCGGTTTACTGATACATCGATTTACTGGTCTAGCATCAAAATATATCACCTTAGAGATCTTTGATTTTCATGAATATTTTATGGTCGACACTTTTTTAAATTAAAATAACCTAAATTGAGAAAACTAGCTCAATAGATATTTTTCGCTCTCGAAATTCTGAAATATGGAATTCATTTTTTAAACTCATTCCCGTGTTTTCGCGCCATTTGAACTTCGTTATCGGAGACAGTAATTTCCTTTTCTTGCAGCAAAAGAATTTGAATTCAAAAAGAGCTTCAAAAGTCAATCCGTGAAAATACAAATTTGAACGTGAAAAACTTTCAGAACTTCATCCTGAAAAAAATCAATACTTTATACTGAAAAAAAAAATTAAAATCTTCGGCATATTCCTCGACACTTGCTATTACAAATGAACGTCCCTCAAATCTACGATCAAAATAATTTTAGCAATGGTTTTATCTCGACGCATTAGAGCAACGCCTGAATGTAATTTCAGGGTCAAAGCAAAGCGCTCAAATTGAACTTGGCCATCAATTCACTTTGAATGTAATCTGAAAACTCAAAACGGCATAATCTGGCTAAATAAAATCCATAGAATTAAAGTATCTATAAAATCTACATGAGCTGGATATTACTTTTCGTTCTGTGGACTCTGTAAACTTCCCCGACTGGATTTCGTTTCCAGAAGTTTCCATTTAAGAAAAATTGAGGCGTCTCATTGTTGATTCTGAGAAGAATCTTCGGCAGCTTCACTTGCAGCACAAACAGTTCGTCTATCGGCTCTCCGCTTTCGTCCAGGACTCGGGAAAAAATTATGTCTCCGTAAGGTCTACAACAAAGACCAACCATACAATAAGAGTTCAATTTTTTTTGTGGGAGAGGGGGAATAGAATTTTTGTGGGGGAGTGGGAGAGAAAAATCATCCATCTTCAGATCTCAGAAAACGTTTTAATTAATTGAAATAAAATACTTATCAAAACATAGGCAATGAAAAAGAGTCAATGAACGCAAGAAAAAAAAAAGTTGTTTTTTGAAAAAACGTCAATTTTCGAATTTCGAAGAAACAAATATAAGGCCGCCTTAAAGCTCTTTGAGTTTCAAGAGAACAAGGTATTATTGACAGTTTTTTTGACAAAAATAACCTAATTTGAGACAGCTGGATCAAAAAAGAATTTTTTCATGTTTTTATCTAAAGACAGTTGACTCCTTGAACATAAAAAAAATTTACTAGCCATTTTGAACACATATATTTTCTTTCACTTCGGAAAATGTTGAGTATCTGAAAGTTTTCTGGATTTGGATGATCTAGTTAAACTAACTTGTGAGATAAAAGTTCACTTGAATTCCCAATTTTTTATAGTTTTAAACATACGCTGGGGTTTGAATTCGTTTTTTAATGACAAGTGTAAGAATTAAAAAATATATGCGGCGGAAATTCTTGCCTTGCAGTGTGATTTTTCAATTTTCAACTTAAAATTGCATTTTTTCATTGCGAAGCGATTCGAGCTGCAATAAAAAATTTCAAAGAAGTAATCCCGAAAAAAGTCTGACTGGTATAATATAATTCTGTCATATTTGGAAAATATTCATGACTTTTCTTAAATTACAAAGTTTCAATCCATTACGACACATTGGACACAAATACGAAGCTGCGTTTCGCAAACACCAGCGCGATAAATAAAATTAAGCTCTAACAAGTGAAATTAGAGAAGGTAGAAATAAGCCTCGAATTAATAAAACTTTTCCTTTCTGCTTAATTCAGCCTGTAACCTTCAGTTTTGAGTCTCATGTTCTTCCCTTTCAGTCACAGACGCTTGAACAACAAAAAAAACACAAGCCACAAACAAAGCCGACAACCGATACTACGAAATTTCCGATCCTACAGTAGATTGTGATTAAAGCAAAAGTGCCACCAAATGAGCACTTTTATTTGCGAAGTAGGTTGGGAAAAAAGTAGAGTCATACTAAAACACTACGCTCACATGCTCGCATGTGTAAATAGTGCTTCAAACAGAAGAATAAACAGGGGGTGAAATCGGAAAAGAGCGCGATTCTCAAATATTGAACGTACACGTAATAGCCGCAATCAAACGTTACTTGAGCAAATTCTCTTCTTATTTTGTCTCTAAAGGGTCTGTCCATTCCTATTCCCTGGCATCTTCCCCTTTCGTCCAGACCTAGCCAGATACTTCCCCCGGATTGCGAATTCATGAAAGCACACACCATTCGATTGAATACATCCATGTCCAAAGAGTCAACTGTCTCCAAATAAAACATGTTTTCGTTTTCAGCTCGGTTGTCCAATACATCTTTAATGAGAGTTCCTCGATGAACTCGAGGAAAACAAGAGCTCATTGCACTTTTATTAATTCATCAACACCTGAAAGCATCCAATTTTCTGCGGTATTGATTAAAGGATATATACTCTGCAATTGATCCACTTCAAGTGCAAGAGTATCAAGCAAAAATTATCGCCAACAATTTTCGAAGAAACAAAATCTGAATGAAAGATTTTCTCATAAAATGCTGACTTTTAAAACATAACAAATAAAATCGAAGCCAGATTTTTCAAAAAAACTTTTGTGTTCATGCTTAAGCATAAGTTGATCATTTTAGTAAAGTAAAAGAGAAAGATAATTTGTTACTAGATTCGAACCTGTTTCACTACTGCAACAATAACCTACACTAGCCATTAAACTAACAAAGCGAGTAAACACACGGAGCCAGATAAATTACAAGCCAAAAGTTACAATCCCTGATAATTGTTCAACGTTTTACCCTACAAAAGTCTGCCAATAACCACCAGGCATTTTGTTTCCATCATTAACAGTTCGTACTTCTGTACTGGCAAGCACGCAACACATAAGCCCGACTGCGAAATTACATTGAATAGGGTCGGACACAACATTGTGTTAACGCGACCGCCTTCGGGCTAACAGGGTTTGAATCCCGATAAGGACCCGTTTTTAGCAGTCGAATCGGCTTCACCTATTCCAACAATGCTCCCTTTTTATTATCATGATCTCGAAATTAAAAACCTACTAATAATCTAACTTTAAAAATAGCTTTATCAAAACCGATCGTATCAGGGCTAATTCCTGAACGTAAGACTACCCTTTGACCTCTATTAAAAATTTTTTGATTGAAAAAAATGAAATTAAAAAAAACTTTGGATTTTTACGGGGTTTTCTGTGAAAGTTTACCCAAGCACGCTATGTTATGTATCAAAATTTTTTTAGCGGCTATAAACGTATGATTAAGCTCGAGCCGACAATTCATAACAGGTGGCAATTCATGACAAGCAACAATTCGTAACAATCGACAATTCGTAATAGTAGATTAAGCGGCAAACACTGATTTACACGCACCGAAATTCTCGCGCCGAATGTAAAAGCTCAGCGGAGTAAGGTATTCCCTGCTTGCCAATGCCTTGTTGTCCCGACTTTCGAAGAAAAGGGAATATTTTTGCTTGGGATGGTTTTCTTTTTATTCAGTCAATTTTCGACGATCGAAATAATAGTTTTTGACAAAAAATTTTTATAGCCATTGAATATATCGACTCCCTGAAATCAAATATAAAAGAGATATTTTACCTCGGTTCATTTTTTGCAAAGTTCTAGGAGTTTGAAAATTGCCAATTTGGTCATGCGCTGGACTAATATATGCGCGTTTTGAAGATTTTATTCATAATGCTGAAAGCGTAATTAATACATGTGGCGAAATACCCCGCACAACAAAATCGTGCAAATTGAATTGAGGCTAGCTAATTGGTCGTATTAATTTCGTAGGACTCAAAGTTGTACAATTGATCTTTGATTTCGTATAGAACTTAGTTTTTCTGGATATGGATTAAAGGGCAGTCGGAACATTCAGGGCTTTGCCCTGATGTACGAGCAGTCTTGTTACGCAATTCAACTGTTACGAATTGTCGCCTTACCACAAATAAAACCAGATAGCTTGCCTCCATTCTAATTGCAATATATAATGGACCAGATTGCATTGCCGCTTACGCGTTCAAAGCACGAACTATATCGCGCGTTAATGATTCCAAATTGGCAATTTTCAAAGCCTCCCAGTTTTACAAAAAATGATCACAGGTGAACACCATCTTCTTAAATTTGAGCTCCTAAATTTAAACCTTTCAAATTGTGTAAAAAATTCCGTCAAATACGGCTAGTCTAAAAGTTGAAATTTATCTAGAAAACCCCTACAAAGCACAAATATTCTGCAACTTCCTTCTAGAGTAGGAACAATAACCATACAACCAACTATACACATTCTGAAATTTAATCCTCAACAAACAGCAAAAAAATGTTGGTCAGGGTTTAGAATTTCGAATTAAAATTCAACACAAGATTGACAAAACTAAAGAAACACATCCAATTCTCAACACTGATCCATGATGAAGGTGCACCGATCCTTCCCAGCCTATTGTTCCCCCGAAGACAATAATTTCTTCGCAATTGCAGCTTGTTTGATGAGTACGCATCGTCGCCTGTCGTTTATATTGCTGTGCTTTTTTCAAGGTTGCATATTTCGAACTATCGCTACTTTTCGTGATAAACAATCTGACAGATTCGACAGTAGTTGCAGAAGGATCCATTGAATTGGCTGCGTGACATTTTTTGTCGGGTTGCTTTGGCTTGCTGTGATTTTCACATCCAAGCTGAACACCATCAACTATCGTGCCATGTTCGCTGTTAAGACATGTCAAAAAATTTCATACGATTGTTGTTAAGTTAGGTTAATTTAAATTAAGACGATTTATAAGACAAACGAGCTGTTCGGCTCCTTACAGAAAACCGCTGTTGAGGCCATTGTCAGAATTACATGCAATTTTTTTGTTACTTTTTCTGGCCTGGATGATGTTTCAACACCTTCAAGAAATGAGCACGGATCATGGAGGGCTTCAAGCACCACCTTAAATGCCGTACCAGTAAGCCAAATTATAAAGAAGGTTTAATGCGCTATATTATGTCACCAATTACTAAGATTTTGCCGAGAACAAAGTTCTGTATTGAGATACAATCATTACAATGCAAGAGCAGCAAAATTTAACTTGCTTTACTCGAAGCAATAATCGCCAAAACAGAAATTCGAAAAAAAAATTCCAACGATTTTTTCCTTTTTCAAAATTTTTTTCTTGTCACACAAAATGTTCAGTCGGCCAATCGATTGAGTGCTATTTTTAATAGCCCTGGCCTAGCTCCCACGATTCAACCGTGGGCCTTTTTTTCGTGTGGGAGAGAAATATCATCCATTTCGTCGCAGCCGGTCCCACCTTGAGGAGGAGGAAGACGCTGAGACCCCTACAACCGTGGCCGAAGTGGGATTCGATACAGACCTTTGCGTTAATGGCCGAGTGTCTTACCCACTCAGCCACAGCTCCTCATTACATGCGTTTGTTAATGCCTTTTGGTGTTTTGCTATTTTTGATAATTATTGATAATTACGGAAGGGGTGGGCGCACATCGAAAGATCAATTTATCCCGAGTCACAAATTATATACCGATTACAAAATGTGATTCAGTGTATCAATAAAATTTCTATTACACTGTCAGACAAAGTTTTCAATATACTTTTATCCTGTGAAATGTCAAGAAGTAATTTTTACCTGTAATTGAGTACTTCAAACTGTCTTGATTTGGCATCGAAAAAGAGAACGGCATGTTTTTGTGATACCCGTTTGCACAAGCTAGTACGTAACACCACGTCGCATATATCACCGTCCGATCCAATGCACAACCACGGTTTATCCATCAGCCAGATTGTCTTCCTTTCAATGTCAAATAAAGCCGCAATCGACGAGTTGACTCGTGCTAAACTGTGATCGGACAACGATTGAACAGCTGATATTATTTCCGAGTCGTCAACATTTCCGACACTATCGTTATTATTTTCAAGGTTACAATTTTTCAAAGTTCCGCATTCCTTCATTCTATGACTAGTTGGACATCGTGAATCGGAATGATTTACAATAAGGTTTAAAAGACCGTCGATTAATTTTTTGTTATTCTCATCATGAAGTAAAGACTCGAACTGACTTTCATTATTTATTGTATCAGAATAAGAAGAACTATTTTGAAGAATTTCCGGTCGCTCAGTTTTCAGTTTCGCTGTTCTGTACATTTCTTTAATAGATACAGGCACGTCAATTTCGAACTCTTTCGGCCTTCGCTTTGGTTCGTTTTTGTCGAACCATGGTGGATACTTTTTGTTTAGGTTCTCGTAAAATTTTCTCTTCACTTGTTCTGTATCTATTGGTTTGGAGAACTAAGCAAATGACAAATATGTAAGAAAACAAAAATACCTGGCTCATGAAGCTTCAAAAAGCACAGCTTCTCATGCAAAAAAAAGTTCTTGTAAAAAATTTTCGTAGAAAAATGATTTTTTTTACATGATTTCTTTTGCACGCCGGACCAGCTCGGATAATTGATGTTTTTTAAATAGATTTTCCAGCAGGTATCAGAAGAACAAATCTCAAATATAATATCAATTTTCACTTTCTATTTTTCATTTCATTGATGCTTAAAACCAAATGTCTTTTTCGACTCATATATGTCTTTAATTGAGACGAGACCTGTTAATAATCATACTAACACATGAATTTAATTTGCAAATTTTTTCTCGTTTCCGAAAAAAGTTGACATTTGTAATTTTCCGGCTTTTTGATCAATATATTTCATTCAGTAGTCATGTACCTGTTGGTGGTAGACTACTCTTTGGGTCCAACTGGTGCTCGTTTGCAGAGTGGGGTTGTAGTGGTGGGGATGGAGGGGACACATCCACCTGCCCTGGGGCAGTGACGTCAGAGGAGGCTCAGTGCACTCCAGGTGAAATGCTAATCAGACCAACAGACAACATAAAATATGATATAAAAATTATTCCAAACATATGTTAACATTTCTTCACACAGCTGAGTTTTGCACCACTTGCGATAAATATGTATGACTATAATTAAAAAATCAAACAGAAGCAAAATCAAAAATTGAAAAAAAAAACTTAAAACTTTTATTAACTGCACCATCAAAAACTTTACAAGGAGCTTTTGGAATGCTAGAAAGAAGCTGAACTTTCACAATCTCTTTTCTGCGGGAACTAAGCCGACAAAAAAGCAGATAGACAATTAACTAAAATAGCAGAAAATTTCCTCGAAAAATTTCGTCACAAGCAAGGGTGTTGCAGCAACCTGGAGGAAAGCCGATCCTTCAAATTTTGAGCTACGGGAACTAAGCCGACAAAAAGAAATAAACGGACGATAAACCGAAAAAACAAGAAATCTAGCTTGCAAAAAACAGGTCCCGGACAGAATCGAATCAAAATTCTTTTCTATCTTCGCTAGGTACGTTGCCTCTACACCAGCTGGTTGATTGTCTTTATAATTAAAATCTTTCGTAGACAAAACAGTCGAGTCGAAACTGCTAAACAAAACTTACGAAACAAAAAATCTGAAAAAATTCAGACTTTAAAACAATACGCTGTGCAACAAAAACAATTTAAAATTTTTATTTTCAAATTGAAAATTTCAGCGCGTATAGAAATAAAAAATCCATGAAATATAGTTTCATTCTTCAAAATTGAACTGAATAAAAACAATTGAACTGAACACAATGTTGCTAAAAAACACCAGCCAAATAAGCCGACAAATATTGAAACAAAATCAATTATTTATCTGTTAGTTAAAAAATCAATCTTTATTGTTGTATAGAGTAATTTAGTTCATTTCGGAAGCTGTTAATCAAATGTTCACTCTTGGTGCTAGACTAATTGATTATCAGGTGTTTGCCCTTGGAACAGTCTGTCACCCTTGGATACTGTTTCTAACCACTCTTTATGCTAACTTTGTAAGATTAAGTTGACAATCTCTTCTATCGGAATTAACAATTAGACGACTATCGTTTTACCTTCTCGACATGGCGCAGTCAGCAAGATCAGGTGGGGGAAAGGATCCACTGGGCATCACGGGCTTTTGGCCAGCAAAATGCACGGAACCGCCAATGATGTGGGAATTCTGGATTAACAGATTCCAATGGGGAATGGTCGCCAAGCACTCACTAAACCCGATGAACTTCTACTTCGCCGCGACACTCACAGAGGCCCAAATTACTGACTTGCCCGAGGAAGTAGACGGAAAAAATCGGCGGGAATCAGAACAGGTGTTGATTTCGAACCTGTATTTGTGTCTGGGGAAAAGGGGCAGGATGAACTGCACAAAAGACGACCACACCTGGACCTCACGACGATTCGTTACCCACGGATGATAGACGCGTTGGAAACGGAATTTAAGAAAGAAAGAAATGAAACATATGAAACATATGAAGCAATTCCACTCCGTACTCAGCGGATTGGCAGCGCGGTGCAATTTTGGAACACTAGAAGACCGAATACTAAGAGACGTATTCATTGTTAACATGAATAATCGGGATGCACAAAAGGAACTATGCAGGTCGACGAAAACACCTGAGGAAGTGTACCGGATAGCTCTATCGTACGAGAGGGGTAACAAGTATGCATCATCATATGTTGCCACGGGACCAGTGGGGGCCCCAGGATCATCATCAGGAGGCGGAGGAATCCAGATAAAATCGGAACCAGTCGGAATAATCCGTGGAGGTTATCGGAACAATCGTGCAAGGGGCGGGGGCTCTTAACAAGGGCGAGGATCGTATCGAGGCAGAAATCTCCCCAATAACAACAAATGTTATAACTGCGATCAACAAAATTTCACCAGGGAACACTTGGACAGATGCCCAGCAAAGGGGGTTACATGCAATTTTTGCCACAAAATTGGCCATTTCGAACGAACCTGCAGGGGAAAACGTGGAAACCAGCGGGGACAGGGAGCCGTAGGAATGATACGGGAGAATGGCGACGATCATCACCTAGAAAATTCGGCGGACGAAGAAGCATCACAACATGCAAGTTCCATTGGATGGGTTAATAAGAATCCAGTGGTGCACTCGTGGGACTCAAGCAGCTCCGACGGGGACTATATGGTTATGGCCATAAAGCGAAAAAGAGTCACAGAATTGAAAGTTGCTGGGGCACAATTGCCGATCAAAGTCAATGGGAAACCCACTCGAGTGTGGATCGATAGCGGGTCCCCAATTTCAATTTTCACCATCGGAGAATTGCGGAAAACTTTGGGAACATCAGGAGTAAAACTGGACAATCTTACGGAGGAGGACAATGCTTTTCGGGATTATGGGAACAATCCACTACAGATGATTGGAACAATGGCAGTAACAATACAATCAAACGGCTGGAAGATCCATGCAAGGATAAAAGTAATCGGAGGGAACCGACCATCAATAATTGGAAGAGATCTGATGCCCCAACTAGGACTCCAGTTGGTGCAACAATCACCAGGGGACCACATAATGTCCATTGAAGAAGGCAGTCAGGACGCACTGGAACCGGAGGGGGAGTTGGATTCATGGCAAACATATTTCAGTAAGCAGTTTTCAAACCTTTTTAGCAGGGTAGGGAAAATAAGAAACTACAAAGTTTAAGCCGAATTTTTTGAAAACCTCACCCCAGTACAACAGAAGGGGCGTCGAGTCCCGATTTCGCTGCAAGAAAAAGTGGATGCCGAAATTGACAAATTATTGAAACAGGGTCATATCGAAAAATTATCCGAATGCTCGGACAAATACTTTGTGTCCCCAATAGTAATAACAGTAAAAACGGATGGGTCCGTGAAACTGGCACTCGAGTCGAGGGAACTAAATAAACAAGTGCATAAGAATAAATACCAAATGCCGAATATCGAGGAACTAATGGACACGGTTGGACAAACGATTAGCGAAAAAAAACAGGGAGACATATATTTCACAACAATGGATTTAACATACGCTTATGGCCAACTGCCACTAAACGCTGAGACGAGCATACAGTGCAATTTTTCTCTTATTGGAGGCCGCTCGACGGGTACATACCGGTTCAAAACCGGATTCTATGGTCTCACTACAATGCCCGCGGAATTCCAGCGCGCAATGGATTGTATACTCGCTGAATACCCGCAAGCGCATGCGTTCATCGATGATATTTTGGTCGTAACCAAGGGAACGGCGATAGACCACATAGCGACGGTAGAGAAAATTTTAAAGAAACTGGATCGTGAAAAAATGTCCCTAAAATTGACAAAATGTAAATTCGTCCAACGAGAATGCGAATGGCTAGGCCATAAAATAACCCCGACTGGAATTACTCCATTGGTTAGAAAAACAGAACCAATAGAGGCGCTAACGCCGCCACGGACTTTGTCACAATTAAAATCGTTTATGGGGTCAATTCATAGTTTGCACAAGTATCTGCCGGCATTGGCCGAATCATCGGCACCGCTGCGACCCCTACTAAGCAAAAATAATGAATACATTTGGACACCTGAATGCCAGAACGCGTTCGAAAACCTTAAGAAACAAGTTTCTAACATTCTTGAATTACGGCACTTTGATATCCACAAAGACATTTGTATAGTGTGCGATGCAAGCCATAACGGGCTCGGCGCGGTGTTGGAACAGTTAGGACCAGAAGGATGGCGCCCAATCTCGTTTGCGTCGCGATATCTTAACGAAGCGGAAAACAAATACTCAACAAACGAATTGGAAATGTTGGCAGTTGTGTGGGGGGCTGAATACTTTAGAAATTACATGCTTGGCCGAAGTTTTTTGATCGTTACCGATCATAAAGCCCTAATATCCCTTTTGAACGGTAATAACAAGAAAAATAAAACGATGTTTACTCGTTTAACGCGCTGGTTAGATCGACTAATTCCTTTTGATTTTCAAATTGAGCATAAACCGGGGGCTAAAATTGGTTTGGCGGACTACTTATCACGTCATCCAAGTAGAGAAGCAACGCCAATTAGTACGTATGATAATATGTTTACGGTGGCAAAGATCAACCTAATTCGCACTGCGCTTGGCTTTAATACATCCAAGGGACCAAATACATCCAAGGGACCAATTTGTACAGCGGATAATAAGCATTCTATAAATAGACTGGAAGTTTCGTCACAAAATGACTCGGTAGAGGGCGGAAAAACATGTAAGCGGAAATCAACCAATCAGATTCAAACACGTGGTTTAAGCCGACGGCTACGCGAAATACGCACTGGATTAGTTGGGGCTATTATTCAATCAGAACACAGTTGTTCAAAATTATCTAAATCCAACTCTCAAAATCAAAATTTACTTAAATCCAGCCCTCAAATTTCAAAAGCAAATATCGATATGGACCGCAGCATGCGCAAATGGCAGAAATTCCTTAAACAACATCCATGTCTGAATAGTAGTAGCGACGAAATCGAAGAATTGCCCCCAAATGTATCACTAGAAGCCATTACCAAAGAGACAAGATCAATACGCACAAATACAACTCTCTCGTTACCCTCGGAATTCAAAGGAGAAACAGTACCACCAGTGGACCCAAACCTTGTATGTATGTCAATTATCCCGCGAAATTGTAAAATCGTTAACAAAGCTACTTCATTACCTGACCTGTTTAACTTAAAATTCATAGAATCAAATTATGTATCGGACCCCCAACTGAGCGCTATTCGCAATCTCATTGTTACACAAGATCCTGAAATTCACGAAAAAGTTACTCAAATGAACCGTTATTATGCCCAATTCGTCAATGATTTCTCAGTAAAGGAAAACGTAGTTTGGATGGATGATAAATTAGTAATTCCAATTAACCTTCAGTCAGCAATTAATAACCGAAGCCACGCGTACCACCACGGGAAATCAAATATGTTCGATGCCGCAAAAGATGTCTGGTATCCCTACATCTACCGTTCAATAGCTTCCATTGCCGAAGGGTGCCCTGAATGTACTGCAGCTGGTAAGAACTTAAAGACGTTAATAAATAAAAATCAACTGGGATCGGTACCGGAACCAAATGAATCAGTCCAATTAGATTTTTGGGGCCCCATCAATTACTTAAATGAATCCCCAAAATATGTACTAGTGGCGGTCGACCGGTTCTCTCGTTGGCCATCGGCAATGGTCTGTGGAAATAATCGATCAGACAAAATATTGAAATTCTTGAAGAGCTATATATCAAACCACGGGGTGCCACGGAAAATCCACATTGATCAGGGAACTAGTTTCATGTCAAACGCGATTAAAGCTTTTTGTAATGGGGAGGGCATTGAAATCATTAAATCACCAGTAAACGACCATCGAGCAACCGGGTGCGTCGAGCGTACCATTGGCAGTCTTAAGAACTCTATTCTTACCTTTGCTCACGAAAAGAATCCTGAACCCTTGGAGAAAATGGTCGAACGGGCCCTTGGTGCCCTCAGATTCTCAAAAAACTCGACACTTAAAATTTCGCCCTTGGAAGCTCATCATGGTAGAGAAGCAAAAACACAGTTTTACGGAATCTTACTAGAAAACCATCGCTGCAAAATCTGGATTGGTCACGGGTTATAAAAACAAAAAATGCCACCGATCCTAATGTGCAAGACATGCCCCATCCAGCTGATACAAACTGGAGTGTAAGATCAGACCTCGCCTACGATATCAAAAACAGGACCCATGCACGACGCCTTACAGTGGACCAATCCGCGAATCAAGACGACGAACCGTCGATACTTAGAAGTGCGAACCCCAATGGACAACCGGGACCATCCGGATTGTTGTTTCAGCGAACTGGGAACAAAAACCTAAAAAGGTATAGACAAATTCATTCTAAAATTAGATCTGAGAGTACACATACACTAACGTTAGACAATGGGGTTGTGTTTAGGAAATCGGGAGTGGCCACGAAGCCCATACCAAAGAAGTCTTAAGTTGCAGCCAAATCCGTATTACCGGTACCATCGAGCGAAGTGAAAAAGCGAGCTATTCAAACAGCATTACCACCGCCGACTCCGCGCGAAGTAAAGGAACGATTAACACAGCGAATTGCGAAAAAGAAACGGGAAAAGACCGGGCGCCGATTCGAAGATACCGACTCTGAATCAGAAGACAGCGAAGACTTACCGATTATCTCGGTAAAACGAGCCAAACAGCCTTTAACTACCACCCCTGAAGCACCTATAGAACGTTCAGCAGCAGCACTACCAGAGGCCGAGGTTGGAACTGACCAGGACACCATTCCGGCACAAGGCGCCGAGTTGGATAATCAAAATCCAAGGGAGCAAGGAATGTCCAATCCAGGGGACCAGTCGAAACCGATCACCGCCAGTAGAAAAAAAGGAGCCTCATCAAAGAAAGCAAAGCTGGTCTCATACAGCAGCCAGGGGGAGAGCCAGGACGAGACATCATCCACGACGTCTAGAAAAAGCGGGCGCAAAAGAACGGCGGTCACCAAGATGGGGGGCGTAATGATTGACTTCATAAATCAAAACAAGGAAGGAAACAAGTGATTTACAAAACTTTCCGAAAAACTGTTCTAACCCAGGGAGAGGGTGAGTCATTAGTGACTTAAAACTCAATTGGTATCACTGCTCAGTGATCTTTTAGTTGTTAAAAAGTTGTCATTATTAAAGTCTAAATTGTAGCCAAACATGAAGCTAGTAATTCTTTTCAACCATCTATGATCAACCATTTCAGTCATTAAAGTCAACCAGCGAAACCATTTCTACTCAACTAAAGTTTCATTATCGAAGGGGAAGTGTTGTATAGAGTAATTGAGTTCATTTCGGAAGCTGTCAATCAAATGTTCACTCTTGGTGCTAGACTAATTGATTAGCAGGTGTTTGTCCTTGGAACAGTCTGTCACCCTTGGATACTGTTTCTAACCACTCTTTATGCTAACTTTGTAAGATTAAGTTGACAATCTCTTCTATCGGAATTAACAATTAGACGACTATCGTTTTACCTTCTCGACATTATCTAGAAACTTTTTCAGCTGTAACAACAGTAACTAATTAACTCTAAGCACAGTTACTCTATAACAGGAACTAGAGCTGTTAAAAAAGAAACTTGGGTGGCTCTGTAGATCCTCTAAACTTGGATATCCTGTGAACTAAGTTAAATACAGTAAGAAAAGTTTAGTACCTGATTGCAATACCCTTGCTAGTCGCAAGCATAATCAGCATGAAATAAGGTTTAAAATCAGGTAGAATAATTTGTCGATTTTATCTCCCAATAAAATAGCGTTTTTTTCCATGAGCACTAATTATATAATAATTCTCACTGATTTAGTCCACATTTCTCCACACACATTTCTCGCCTTTTGATTTTTGTGGCATATTTCGCCCCTTGCAGATTTTGCTTTACAATTTTAATGGGACTTAAAATTTAAGAGCAGAATCGTACGAGGAAAAAATATTCCACTGAAAATGACTAACAGACAATTGGAAAAGTGTCAGTGAACTCGAGCACATGAAGTCAAGCCACGAAAAACCCAATTTGAGCGTGAACAACTTGCAAAACTTTATCTTGAAAAAAAATATCTTCATTTCGTTCATTGACACTTTATTAAAAAGAGCAAAAAGAGCGATGGGTGAATATGGCTCCCAGTCATTTCCACCCCAGAAGCAATCTGTTCTGGAAATGCCTGCTTTTGGGGTGGAAATGTGTGGTTAGGTGAAATGTGTGGATGGCTGTATCTGACTGTACCTGCGGGGCAGTAGTCACAAGCCACAAGTGGAAACTGGGCACAGCTCTTGCCACACTGGTAGCAGAGTCGGATGGAAGCAGAAGTGGGCACGCAGCCCTCGCCGTCCACACAGATCGGCTGTTTAGATCGCCGTCCACACAGATCGGCTGCCAATAACCACCAGGCATTTTGTTTCCATCATTAACAGTTCGTACTTCTGTACTGGCAAGCACGCAACACATAAGCCCGACTGCGAAATTACATTGAATAGGGTCGGACACAACATTGTGTTAACGCGACCGTCTTCGGGCTAACAGGGTTTGAATCCCGATAAGGACTCGTTTTTAGCAGTCGAATCGGCTTCACCTATTCCAACAATGCTCCCTTTTTATTATCATGATCTCGAAATTAAAAACCTACTAATAATCTAACTTTAAAAATAGCTTTATCAAAACCGATCGTATCAGGGCTAATTCCTGAACGTAAGACTACCCTTTGACCTCTATTAAAAATTTTTTGATTGAAAAAAATGAAATTAAAAAAAACTTTGGATTTTTACGGGGTTTTCTGTGAAAGTTTACCCAAGCACGCTATGTTATGTATCAAAATTTTTTTAGCGGCTATAAACGTATGATTAAGCTCGAGCCGACAATTCATAACAGGTGGCAATTCATGACAAGCAACAATTCGTAACAATCGACAATTCGTAATAGTAGATTAAGCGGCAAACACTGATTTACACGCACCGAAATTCTCGCGCCGAATGTAAAAGCGCAGCGGAGTAAGGTATTCCCTGCTTGCCAATGCCTTGTTGTCCCGACTTTCGAAGAAAAGGGAATATTTTTGCTTGGGATGGTTTTCTTTTTATTCAGTCAATTTTCGACGATCGAAATAATAGTTTTTGACAAAAAATTTTTATAGCCATTGAATATATCGACTCCCTGAAATCAAATATAAAAGAGATATTTTACCTCGGTTCATTTTTTGCAAAGTTCTAGGAGTTTGAAAATTGCCAATTTGGTCATGCGCTGGACTAATATATGCGCGTTTTGAAGATTTTATTCATAATGCTGAAAGCGTAATTAATACATGTGGCGAAATACCCCGCACAACAAAATCGTGCAAATTGAATTGAGGCTAGCTAATTGGTCGTATTAATTTCGTAGGACTCAAAGTTGTACAATTGATCTTTGATTTCGTATAGAACTTAGTTTTTCTGGATATGGATTAAAGGGCAGTCGGAACATTCAGGGCTTTGCCCTGATGTACGAGCAGTCTTGTTACGCAATTCAACTGTTACGAATTGTCGCCTTACCACAAATAAAACCAGATAGCTTGCCTCCATTCTAATTGCAATATATAATGGACCAGATTGCATTGCCGCTTACGCGTTCAAAGCACGAACTATATCGCGCGTTAATGATTCCAAATTGGCAATTTTCAAAGCCTCCCAGTTTTACAAAAAATGATCACAGGTGAACACCATCTTCTTAAATTTGAGCTCCTAAATTTAAACCTTTCAAATTGTGTAAAAAATTCCGTCAAATACGGCTAGTCTAAAAGTTGAAATTTATCTAGAAAACCCCTACAAAGCACAAATATTCTGCAACTTCCTTCTAGAGTAGGAACAATAACCATACAACCAACTATACACATTCTGAAATTTAATCCTCAACAAACAGCAAAAAAATGTTGGTCAGGGTTTAGAATTTCGAATTAAAATTCAACACAAGATTGACAAAACTAAAGAAACACATCCAATTCTCAACACTGATCCATGATGAAGGTGCACCGATCCTTCCCAGCCTATTGTTCCCCCGAAGACAATAATTTCTTCGCAATTGCAGCTTGTTTGATGAGTACGCATCGTCGCCTGTCGTTTATATTGCTGTGCTTTTTTCAAGGTTGCATATTTCGAACTATCGCTACTTTTCGTGATAAACAATCTGACAGATTCGACAGTAGTTGCAGAAGGATCCATTGAATTGGCTGCGTGACATTTTTTGTCGGGTTGCTTTGGCTTGCTGTGATTTTCACATCCAAGCTGAACACCATCAACTATCGTGCCATGTTCGCTGTTAAGACATGTCAAAAAATTTCATACGATTGTTGTTAAGTTAGGTTAATTTAAATTAAGACGATTTATAAGACAAACGAGCTGTTCGGCTCCTTACAGAAAACCGCTGTTGAGGCCATTGTCAGAATTACATGCAATTTTTTTGTTACTTTTTCTGGCCTGGATGATGTTTCAACACCTTCAAGAAATGAGCACGGATCATGGAGGGCTTCAAGCACCACCTTAAATGCCGTACCAGTAAGCCAAATTATAAAGAAGGTTTAATGCGCTATATTATGTCACCAATTACTAAGATTTTGCCGAGAACAAAGTTCTGTATTGAGATACAATCATTACAATGCAAGAGCAGCAAAATTTAACTTGCTTTACTCGAAGCAATAATCGCCAAAACAGAAATTCGAAAAAAAAATTCCAACGATTTTTTCCTTTTTCAAAATTTTTTTCTTGTCACACAAAATGTTCAGTCGGCCAATCGATTGAGTGCTATTTTTAATAGCCCTGGCCTAGCTCCCACGATTCAACCGTGGGCCTTTTTTTCGTGTGGGAGAGAAATATCATCCATTTCGTCGCAGCCGGTCCCACCTTGAGGAGGAGGAAGACGCTGAGACCCCTACAACCGTGGCCGAAGTGGGATTCGATACAGACCTTTGCGTTAATGGCCGAGTGTCTTACCCACTCAGCCACAGCTCCTCATTACATGCGTTTGTTAATGCCTTTTGGTGTTTTGCTATTTTTGATAATTATTGATAATTACGGAAGGGGTGGGCGCACATCGAAAGGTCAATTTATCCCGAGTCACAAATTATATACCGATTACAAAATGTGATTCAGTGTATCAATAAAATTTCTATTACACTGTCAGACAAAGTTTTCAATATACTTTTATCCTGTGAAATGTCAAGAAGTAATTTTTACCTGTAATTGAGTACTTCAAACTGTCTTGATTTGGCATCGAAAAAGAGAACGGCATGTTTTTGTGATACCCGTTTGCACAAGCTAGTACTTAAAACCACGTCGCATATATCACCGTCCGATCCAATGCACAACCACGGTTTATCCATCAGCCAGATTGTCTTCCTTTCAATGTCAAATAAAGCCGCAATCGACGAGTTGACTCGTGCTAAACTGTGATCGGACAACGATTGAACAGCTGATATTATTTCCGAGTCGTCAACATTTCCGACACTATCGTTATTATTTTCAAGGTTACAATTTTTCAAAGTTCCGCATTCCTTCATTCTATGACTAGTTGGACATCGTGAATCGGAATGATTTACAATAAGGTTTAAAAGACCGTCGATTAATTTTTTGTTATTCTCATCATGAAGTAAAGACTCGAACTGACTTTCATTATTTATTGTATCAGAATAAGAAGAACTATTTTGAAGAATTTCCGGTCGCTCAGTTTTCAGTTTCGCTGTTCTGTACATTTCTTTAATAGATACAGGCACGTCAATTTCGAACTCTTTCGGCCTTCGCTTTGGTTCGTTTTTGTCGAACCATGGTGGATACTTTTTGTTTAGGTTCTCGTAAAATTTTCTCTTCACTTGTTCTGTATCTATTGGTTTGGAGAACTAAGCAAATGACAAATATGTAAGAAAACAAAAATACCTGGCTCATGAAGCTTCAAAAAGCACAGCTTCTCATGCAAAAAAAAGTTCTTGTAAAAAATTTTCGTAGAAAAATGATTTTTTTTACATGATTTCTTTTGCACGCCGGACCAGCTCGGATAATTGATGTTTTTTAAATAGATTTTCCAGCAGGTATCAGAAGAACAAATCTCAAATATAATATCAATTTTCACTTTCTATTTTTCATTTCATTGATGCTTAAAACCAAATGTCTTTTTCGACTCATATATGTCTTTAATTGAGACGAGACCTGTTAATAATCATACTAACACATGAATTTAATTTGCAAATTTTTTCTCGTTTCCGAAAAAAGTTGACATTTGTAATTTTCCGGCTTTTTGATCAATATATTTCATTCAGTAGTCATGTACCTGTTGGTGGTAGACTACTCTTTGGGTCCAACTGGTGCTCGTTTGCAGAGTGGGGTTGTAGTGGTGGGGATGGAGGGGACACATCCACCTGCCCTGGGGCAGTGACGTCAGAGGAGGCTCAGTGCACTCCAGGTGAAATGCTAATCAGACCAACAGACAACATAAAATATGATATAAAAATTATTCCAAACATATGTTAACATTTCTTCACACAGCTGAGTTTTGCACCACTTGCGATAAATATGTATGACTATAATTAAAAAATCAAACAGAAGCAAAATCAAAAATTGAAAAAAAAAAACTTAAAACTTTTATTAACTGCACCATCAAAAACTTTACAAGGAGCTTTTGGAATGCTAGAAAGAAGCTGAACTTTCACAATCTCTTTTCTGCGGAAACTAAGCCGACAAAAAAGCAGATAGACAATTAACTAAAATAGCAGAAAATTTCCTCGAAAAATTTCGTCACAAGCAAGGGTGTTGCAGCAACCTGGAGGAAAGCCGATCCTTCAAGTTTTGAGCTACGGGAACTAAGCCGACAAAAAGAAATAAACGGACGATAAACCGAAAAAACAAGAAATCTAGCTTGCAAAAAACAGGTCCCGGACAGAATCGAATCAAAATTCTTTTCTATCTTCGCTAGGTACGTTGCCTCTACACCAGCTGGTTGATTGTCTTTATAATTAAAATCTTTCGTAGACAAAACAGTCGAGTCGAAACTGCTAAACAAAACTTACGAAACAAAAAATCTGAAAAAATTCAGACTTTAAAACAATACGCTGTGCAACAAAAACAATTTAAAATTTTTATTTTCAAATTGAAAATTTCAGCGCGTATAGAAATAAAAAATCCATGAAATATAGTTTCATTCTTCAAAATTGAACTGAATAAAAACAATTGAACTGAACACAATGTTGCTAAAAAACACCAGCCAAATAAGCCGACAAATATTGAAACAAAATCAATTATTTATCTGTTAGTTAAAAAATCAATCTTTATTGTTGTATAGAGTAATTTAGTTCATTTCGGAAGCTGTCAATCAAATGTTCACTCTTGGTGCTAGACTAATTGATTATCAGGTGTTTGCCCTTGGAACAGTCTGTCACCCTTGGATACTGTTTCTAACCACTCTTTATGCTAACTTTGTAAGAATAAGTTGACAATCTCTTCTATCGGAATTAACAATTAGACGACTATCGTTTTACCTTCTCGACATGGCGCAGTCAGCAGGATCAGGTGGGGGAAAGGATCCACTGGGCATCACGGGCTTTTGGCCAGCAAAATGCACGGAACCGCCAATGATGTGGGAATTCTGGATTAACAGATTCCAATGGGGAATGGTCGCCAAGCACTCACTAAACCCGATGAACTTCTACTTCGCCGCGACACTCACAGAGGCCCAAATTACTGACTTGCCCGAGGAAGTAGACGGAAAAAATCGGCGGGAATCAGAACAGGTGTTGATTTCGAACCTGTATTTGTGTCTGGGGAAAAGGGGCAGGATGAACTGCACAAAAGACGACCACACCTGGACCTCACGACGATTCGTTACCCACGGATGATAGACGCGTTGGAAACGGAATTTAAGAAAGAAAGAAATGAAACATATGAAACATATGAAGCAATTCCACTCCGTACTCAGCGGATTGGCAGCGCGGTGCAATTTTGGAACACTAGAAGACCGAATACTAAGAGACGTATTCATTGTTAACATGAATAATCGGGATGCACAAAAGGAACTATGCAGGTCGACGAAAACACCTGAGGAAGTGTACCGGATAGCTCTATCGTACGAGAGGGGTAACAAGTATGCATCATCATATGTTGCCACGGGACCAGTGGGGGCCCCAGGATCATCATCAGGAGGCGGAGGAATCCAGATAAAATCGGAACCAGTCGGAATAATCCGTGGAGGTTATCGGAACAATCGTGCAAGGGGCGGGGGCTCTTAACAAGGGCGAGGATCGTATCGAGGCAGAAATCTCCCCAATAACAACAAATGTTATAACTGCGATCAACAAAATTTCACCAGGGAACACTTGGACAGATGCCCAGCAAAGGGGGTTACATGCAATTTTTGCCACAAAATTGGCCATTTCGAACGAACCTGCAGGGGAAAACGTGGAAACCAGCGGGGACAGGGAGCCGTAGGAATGATACGGGAGAATGGCGACGATCATCACCTAGAAAATTCGGCGGACGAAGAAGCATCACAACATGCAAGTTCCATTGGATGGGTTAATAAGAATCCAGTGGTGCACTCGTGGGACTCAAGCAGCTCCGACGGGGACTATATGGTTATGGCCATAAAGCGAAAAAGAGTCACAGAATTGAAAGTTGCTGGGGCACAATTGCCGATCAAAGTCAATGGGAAACCCACTCGAGTGTGGATCGATAGCGGGTCCCCAATTTCAATTTTCACCATCGGAGAATTGCGGAAAACTTTGGGAACATCAGGAGTAAAACTGGACAATCTTACGGAGGAGGACAATGCTTTTCGGGATTATGGGAACAATCCACTACAGATGATTGGAACAATGGCAGTAACAATACAATCAAACGGCTGGAAGATCCATGCAAGGATAAAAGTAATCGGAGGGAACCGACCATCAATAATTGGAAGAGATCTGATGCCCCAACTAGGACTCCAGTTGGTGCAACAATCACCAGGGGACCACATAATGTCCATTGAAGAAGGCAGTCAGGACGCACTGGAACCGGAGGGGGAGTTGGATTCATGGCAAACATATTTCAGTAAGCAGTTTTCAAACCTTTTTAGCAGGGTAGGGAAAATAAGAAACTACAAAGTTTAAGCCGAATTTTTTGAAAACCTCACCCCAGTACAACAGAAGGGGCGTCGAGTCCCGATTTCGCTGCAAGAAAAAGTGGATGCCGAAATTGACAAATTATTGAAACAGGGTCATATCGAAAAATTATCCGAATGCTCGGACAAATACTTTGTGTCCCCAATAGTAATAACAGTAAAAACGGATGGGTCCGTGAAACTGGCACTCGAGTCGAGGGAACTAAATAAACAAGTGCATAAGAATAAATACCAAATGCCGAATATCGAGGAACTAATGGACACGGTTGGACAAACGATTAGCGAAAAAAAACAGGGAGACATATATTTCACAACAATGGATTTAACATACGCTTATGGCCAACTGCCACTAAACGCTGAGACGAGCATACAGTGCAATTTTTCTCTTATTGGAGGCCGCTCGACGGGTACATACCGGTTCAAAACCGGATTCTATGGTCTCACTACAATGCCCGCGGAATTCCAGCGCGCAATGGACTGTATACTCGCTGAATACCCGCAAGCGCATGCGTTCATCGATGATATTTTGGTCGTAACCAAGGGAACGGCGATAGACTACATAGCGACGGTAGAGAAAATTTTAAAGAAACTGGATCGTGAAAAAATGTCCCTAAAATTGACAAAATGTAAATTCGTCCAACGAGAATGCGAATGGCTAGGCCATAAAATAACCCCGACTGGAATTACTCCATTGGTTAGAAAAACAGAACCAATAGAGGCGCTAACGCCGCCACGGACTTTGTCACAATTAAAATCGTTTATGGGGTCAATTCATAGTTTGCACAAGTATCTGCCGGCATTGGCCGAATCATCGGCACCGCTGCGACCCCTACTAAGCAAAAATAATGAATACATTTGGACACCTGAATGCCAGAACGCGTTCGAAAACCTTAAGAAACAAGTTTCTAACATTCTTGAATTACGGCACTTTGATATCCACAAAGACATTTGTATAGTGTGCGATGCAAGCCATAACGGGCTCGGCGCGGTGTTGGAACAGTTAGGACCAGAAGGATGGCGCCCAATCTCGTTTGCGTCGCGATATCTTAACGAAGCGGAAAACAAATACTCAACAAACGAATTGGAAATGTTGGCAGTTGTGTGGGGGGCTGAATACTTTAGAAATTACATGCTTGGCCGAAGTTTTTTGATCGTTACCGATCATAAAGCCCTAATATCCCTTTTGAACGGTAATAACAAGAAAAATAAAACGATGTTTACTCGTTTAACGCGCTGGTTAGATCGACTAATTCCTTTTGATTTTCAAATTGAGCATAAACCGGGGGCTAAAATTGGTTTGGCCGACTACTTATCACGTCATCCAAGTAGAGAAGCAACGCCAATTAGTACGTATGATAATATGTTTACGGTGGCAAAGATCAACCTAATTCGCACTGCGCTTGGCTTTAATACATCCAAGGGACCAAATACATCCAAGGGACCAATTTGTACAGCGGATAATAAGCATTCTATAAATAGACTGGTAGTTTCGTCACAGAATGACTCGGTAGAGGGCGGAAAAACATGTAAGCGGAAATCAACCAATCAGATTCAAACACGTGGTTTAAGCCGACGGCTACGCGAAATACGCACTGGATTAGTTGGGGCTATTATTCAATCAGAACACAGTTGTTCAAAATTATCTAAATCCAACTCTCAAAATCAAAATTTACTTAAATCCAGCCCTCAAATTTCAAAAGCAAATATCGATATGGACCGCAGCATGCGCAAATGGCAGAAATTCCTTAAACAACATCCATGTCTGAATAGTAGTAGCGACGAAATCGAAGAATTGCCCCCAAATGTATCACTAGAAGCCATTACCAAAGAGACAAGATCAATACGCACAAATACAACTCTCTCGTTACCCTCGGAATTCAAAGGAGAAACAGTACCACCAGTGGACCCAAACCTTGTATGTATGTCAATTATCCCGCGAAATTGTAAAATCGTTAACAAAGCTACTTCATTACCTGACCTGTTTAACTTAAAATTCATAGAATCAAATTATGTATCGGACCCCCAACTGAGCGCTATTCGCAATCTCATTGTTACACAAGATCCTGAAATTCACGAAAAAGTTACTCAAATGAACCGTTATTATGCCCAATTCGTCAATGATTTCTCAGTAAAGGAAAACGTATTTGGATGGATGATAAATTAGTAATTCCAATTAACCTTCAGTCAGCAATTAATAACCGAATCCACGCGTACCACCACGGGAAATCAAATATGTTCGATGCCGCAAAAGATGTCTGGTATCCCTACATCTACCGTTCAATAGCTTCCATTGCCGAAGGGTGCCCTGAATGTACTGCAGCTGGTAAGAACTTAAAGACGTTAATAAATAAAAATCAACTGGGATCGGTACCGGAACCAAATGAATCAGTCCAATTAGATTTTTGGGGCCCCATCAATTACTTAAATGAATCCCCAAAATATGTACTAGTGGCGGTCGACCGGTTCTCTCGTTGGCCATCGGCAATGGTCTGTGGAAATAATCGATCAGACAAAATATTGAAATTCTTGAAGAGCTATATATCAAACCACGGGGTGCCACGGAAAATCCACATTGATCAGGGAACTAGTTTCATGTCAAACGCGATTAAAGCTTTTTGTAATGGGGAGGGCATTGAAATCATTAAATCACCAGTAAACGACCATCGAGCAACCGGGTGCGTCGAGCGTACCATTGGCAGTCTTAAGAACTCTATTCTTACCTTTGCTCACGAAAAGAATCCTGAACCCTTGGAGAAAATGGTCGAACGGGCCCTTGGTGCCCTCAGATTCTCAAAAAACTCGACACTTAAAATTTCGCCCTTGGAAGCTCATCATGGTAGAGAAGCAAACACAGTTTTACGGAATCTTACTAGAAAACCATCGCTGCAAAATCTGGATTGGTCACGGGTTATAAAAACAAAAAATGCCACCGATCCTAATGTGCAAGACATGCCCCATCCAGCTGATACAAACTGGAGTGTAAGATCAGACCTCGCCTACGATATCAAAAACAGGACCCATGCACGACGCCTTACAGTGGACCAATCCGCGAATCAAGACGACGAACCGTCGATACTTAGAAGTGCGAACCCCAATGGACAACCGGGACCATCCGGATTGTTGTTTCAGCGAACTGGGAACAAAAACCTAAAAAGGTATAGACAAATTCATTCTAAAATTAGATCTGAGAGTACACATACACTAACGTTAGACAATGGGGTTGTGTTTAGGAAATCGGGAGTGGCCACGAAGCCCATACCAAAGAAGTCTTAAGTTGCAGCCAAATCCGTATTACCGGTACCATCGAGCGAAGTGAAAAAGCGAGCTATTCAAACAGCATTACCACCGCCGACTCCGCGCGAAGTAAAGGAACGATTAACACAGCGAATTGCGAAAAAGAAACGGGAAAAGACCGGGCGCCGATTCGAAGATACCGACTCTGAATCAGAAGACAGCGAAGACTTACCGATTATCTCGGTAAAACGAGCCAAACAGCCTTTAACTACCACCCCTGAAGCACCTATAGAACGTTCAGCAGCAGCACTACCAGAGGCCGAGGTTGGAACTGACCAGGACACCATTCCGGCACAAGGCGCCGAGTTGGATAATCAAAATCCAAGGGAGCAAGGAATGTCCAATCCAGGGGACCAGTCGAAACCGATCACCGCCAGTAGAAAAAAAGGAGCCTCATCAAAGAAAGCAAAGCTGGTCTCATACAGCAGCCAGGGGGAGAGCCAGGACGAGACATCATCCACGACGTCTAGAAAAAGCGGGCGCAAAAGAACGGCGGTCACCAAGATGGGGGGCGTAATGATTGACTTCATAAATCAAAACAAGGAAGGAAACAAGTGATTTACAAAACTTTCCGAAAAACTGTTCTAACCCAGGGAGAGGGTGAGTCATTAGTGACTTAAAACTCAATTGGTATCACTGCTCAGTGATCTTTTAGTTGTTAAAAAGTTGTCATTATTAAAGTCTAAATTGTAGCCAAACATGAAGCTAGTAATTCTTTTCAACCATCTATGATCAACCATTTCAGTCATTAAAGTCAACCAGCGAAACCATTTCTACTCAACTAAAGTTTCATTATCGAAGGGGAAGTGTTGTATAGAGTAATTGAGTTCATTTCGGAAGCTGTCAATCAAATGTTCACTCTTGGTGCTAGACTAATTGATTAGCAGGTGTTTGTCCTTGGAACAGTCTGTCACCCTTGGATACTGTTTCTAACCACTCTTTATGCTAACTTTGTAAGATTAAGTTGACAATCTCTTCTATCGGAATTAACAATTAGACGACTATCGTTTTACCTTCTCGACATTATCTAGAAACTTTTTCAGCTGTAACAACAGTAACTCATTAACTCTAAGCACAGTTACTCTATAACAGGAACTAGAGCTGTTAAAAAAGAAACTTGGGTGGCTCTGTAGATCCTCTAAACTTGGATATCCTGTGAACTAAGTTAAATACAGTAAGAAAAGTTTAGTACCTGATTGCAATACCCTTGCTAGTCGCAAGCATAATCAGCATGAAATAAGGTTTAAAATCAGGTAGAATAATTTGTCGATTTTATCTCCCAATAAAATAGCGTTTTTTTCCATGAGCACTAATTATATAATAATTCTCACTGATTTAGTCCACATTTCTCCACACACATTTCTCGCCTTTTGATTTTTGTGGCATATTTCGCCCCTTGCAGATTTTGCTTTACAATTTTAATGGGACTTAAAATTTAAGAGCAGAATCGTACGAGGAAAAAATATTCCACTGAAAATGACTAACAGACAATTGGAAAAGTGTCAGTGAACTCGAGCACATGAAGTCAAGCCACGAAAAACCCAATTTGAGCGTGAACAACTTGCAAAACTTTATCTTGAAAAAAAATATCTTCATTTCGTTCATTGACACTTTATTAAAAAGAGCAAAAAGAGCGATGGGTGAATATGGCTCCCAGTCATTTCCACCCCAGAAGCAATCTGTTCTGGAAATGCCTGCTTTTGGGGTGGAAATGTGTGGTTAGGTGAAATGTGTGGATGGCTGTATCTGACTGTACCTGCGGGGCAGTAGTCACAAGCCACAAGTGGAAACTGGGCACAGCTCTTGCCACACTGGTAGCAGAGTCGGATGGAAGCAGAAGTGGGCACGCAGCCCTCGCCGTCCACACAGATCGGCTGTTTAGTCTCCGTCCGGGGCAGCTTGTCAAACGTCAGCTGACAACAACAAATACAACATAACATCAACACATAACAGGTATGTAAGTGCAGTAGAGGATTTAGAGGCGGCACCTTCGGCGCAAATATACGCATTCTTTGGCCTCTTTTTAAAAAAATTGCCTATTGCCTAAGGCTCAGAATACTTGGTGAAAACACGGTCTTTATAGTGATTTGGGAGATCTCAGAAAATCAACTTGGTCGACCTCAGAAAAAGGTCGACACAATTTTCGAAATTTTGTTGAAAATCCGCCACGCCACCCCCCCCCCTCAAGAAAATCCTAGACCCGCCCCTGTGTATGTGAACATACTTCAGCTCAGTTATGAAAAAGAATAAATCATAGACAACAAGCAAAAGATAGCAAAAGTGTTAATTGACTGAAGGAAACCAAAAAAGAATAGCAGAATCTTCATTGGGAAATTTTTCGCCCAAAGATCATTGAAGTTGAAGAACCTTTTATGATTGACACCCAGGGGCGGATTTAGGCAGGGATGCCCCCCCCCCCCCCCCTCAGGGATTCGACCCCCTGCCGACCCAAAGGGTCCCCCCTTCGATACTTTTTCAGAAATCCATTTTTGGCCGACCGACCCAAAATTTTATAATATTTATAATAATTTTAAATATATACAAACTTTGAGGGGGAGCCCGCACCAACAAAAATTTTTTTTCTGGGATTTTTCTTTGCGATTTTTTTGTCAAATTTTTTCAAAAAGCGCCCAAAAAATTTTTTCAAAAATCAATTTGGTGGACCTTAAAAAAAAGGTCGTCAAAATTTTGGAAAATTTTTTGAAAATCCGCCCCCCCCCCCTCCCCTCGAGAAAATCCTAGATCCGCCCCTGTTGACACCCCATTTGAACCCAATTAAAACTAAGCCAATTTGAAAAAACTGGATCAATAAAAAATTTTCAAATCGGTCCTCAAAAAGAAAATCCATTTTTGAAACTAGAAATCAATCACGTTTTTTCTGCGCCGTTTGCACTTTTGATATTACTGAAATCCCCTTTTGATATTACTGAAGTTCCATAAACTGAATGATTTTGAAATGAATTTGAAATGACTTACGAAAAAATTACAAGTTAAAACGCCAAAATATCATAAAAAACCACATGACCGAATTCTAATTTTAAGTAAAATTCACATAGTTGATTATTGCTGGGATATTCTCATGGGCGAAGGACCAATTGGGCGAAGAACTCATGAGCAAAGGACCGAAAAAAGTTGAAATTCAATTAATAAAATGAATCAATTGTCGTTCAATTAAAAGAAAAATAAAGCAATATTTTGCTTCTTTTATAAGGAAATCTATCAAAAAAAAAGATTGTTCCAATTCGTTGGCGGTCAGTGGCAATTTCAAAATTGACAAAATTAATATCAAGTCCCTGGAAATTTTTATTTTCATTGAGATTTTCAAATTTTGGAATACAGAAATCTGATCGGCTGATTTTTACTTTCACCCATTCGGTCCTTCAGCTATGAGCGATTCCACCAATTATTGCTGACAAAAAATTGCCGAACAAATTAATTAATTAATTTACTTGATTATTAAGTTTAAACTCACTATTGATTAATAAACTAAGTTAGACTACTGTTTGAGATCACAGGTAACTTTGGACAATTTGATAATAATTGGTAGATCACCTTGAACACAAAGGCGAAGCAGAGCTTAGCACCTCTCTTGATACAACAACTATAAGATAAAATAGCATGACACTCATTGAAGGAGAATCATTACAAACTAGAAAGAATCATGCTTGAATTTTAAAACTTTTTGAACATAGTCCTTGTGGGACTAACTTTGAGCATTCGAACTCTTTTCGATTTCAAAGTTACGCCGCAAAGTTTTAGGAAACAAAAAAATTGGTAAATAAGCCGACAAAATTACAGCCGATACCCTATTAGCTTAAAGTCAACCGAAAACTTTTGACAAAAAATCTTATTGGATGATCAAATTAGATCATGTGGTCATGTACCAGCCACATAAGAGACAATAAAGCTATATACGTAGTGCATGCAAGGTGGAATACAAAATTCAAAAACCCAGCCGACAGAGTTTAGGTCGGCAATCATGAAGCCGAAAAACCATCAGCAAAAAATATCCTAACTATATAATTATACATAAGATGGTAAGAATTCAGACATAGCATTTACCATTAGTTACTAGCATTCAGTGTCAGTAGTTGAGATCAGGAGCAGATTGTTTTTTTCCCAAAATTTTTTCTAGAGACGCCTTTGGTGCCAATATATACTAATTTTTAGCGGTAAAAACGCGATTTCAACAACATTTTTCAAAAAGTGCCTAAAAACGCTATTTTTTTCAAAATTTTGCCTGCGGCGCACAAAATTTGGCCAAAACGATCCTTGGGTCAGCTCGGAAAATCATTTTGCTCGACCTACAAAAAAAGGTCGACAAAGTTTTCGAATTTTTTTTTTGAAAATCCCTCTTCGAGAAAATCCTAGATCAGCCCCTGGTTGAGATTAAAATTTTCAGGAAATTACGATTTGACAATGATTGCTAATCACCAACGTAATGAGCATTTTGGGAAAACGAAACGGAACGAACCTCTCGATTTCGTTGGTTGTAAGAACTTGATCCCACCAACTCTTCTTGCGTAGAATATGAAAGTGGCAATGCGAACTCTTTCGGGTTTCCTCGCAGACACTGCACCTTCAGAGCTTTCAGAGTCTCTAGCAGATCTGAAGTAATGTATTTTATCTTCTGTTGACTCTCGTCAACAGATTTCGCATTCTTTGGTGGCGATGTCTGGCTCAACTTTTCAGATGGCAGTCTTCTTCTAAAAAATCAATAAATGTTTGGAGCTCAATAAATTGCTGCTCATTCCTAGGAAGTTAATATACATTCCAAAGACAATTATGATATTTGATATAAATCTAATATTCTATTTCAATTGGTTTTCTTCCTTTGAAATATTCGAACGTAAAATCAGACCATTTATCCAAACTTCTGAAAATTACCGTTTCCTGCCAGATTTCACAGAGTCGCAACTGGAAACTGTGAGTGTTTCAGTGTCACTGTCTCTCAATCGCAGCTCGGAATTATCCGAATTAGTCACACCATGCACGTTTGTCAGCTTCGACTGTGGCGGCGTAACTTCATCATCCACTGAAGAAAGCGTAATATCGTATGGGAAATTGATGTGGACAGAATTTACGTTCACTTCAGTTGAGCTGCATTCTCGGCACAACCAAACCTAAGAAAGATAATATTTTGTTAAGGTTATTAATTATTAAGACGATTTACCCACAAAGGAAAGAGACTTCAGCTCTTCGCGGAAAACCGCTGTTGTGACGCTTTTTAAAATCTACATGAAATTTTTTTTCTGGGCTGAGTAATGTTGCCTCATCCTCAAGCAACGAGTACGGATCATGGTGGGCCTCGAACATCCGACCTTTCGATTGAGAGGCGGGGACGTAATCACTTCACCATTGCTCCCGGAATTCACTTCTTCAAGACTTTTTACTACTTCAAGTTTAAATGCGATATTCAGAAGTCCCTTAGTAAATATAAAACCATATAAGATAAATTAATTCAATTTTAAATCTACACATGTTTTGATATTTCGCAAAATAAGTTTTCTTGCATTACCGACGACTAATTACGTGTCGACCAACTAGATGTTTTAATATTTCACCAAAAAAAACTGCTTACATAACCAATAAGAGCCACATGTACTAAGACAATATAAATGCGTTCATACCAACAAAAAACGACTTCGAATTTAGAAGAAATATGTCCAATTTTACATTCCTTTTCGTTATAAACTCTCTGAAATATGAAATATTTCGCTTTAACTCTTTTCAAAGAGAAAATAGTCATTAAAAATGGTCAACGGTGCGCCAAAGGCGCATTTCGGAAAAATGGGTACTCAATAGTGTCTGAAAAACGGGTTCTTTTTTTGGTCCCCCTCAAAAGGGGGGGCACGTGCCCCCCACTGTAAAATCGCGCCTGCACCGTGGTTGTTACTCTACTTACTATACATATAATAACATATACTTACTTGACCCAAACTGTCGGCTTCGATCGGAGGATCAAAACACTTGAGGTGGAAGGAAGCGGGACAATTATCACAGCAGATGATACTACCGATTCCCAAACACGCGTCACACCTGTCTCTATTATGCTGCTGACCCGGCTGCTGGAAATAGCGATGTTTCTTTCCCAAATTTGACCCCCCTGCTGACCCCTTAACTGAACTTGAGCCCTTCGGTTTGGCTGGAGAAGTGGTGTTAGTGATTGAAGTTGCCTTCGGGTTTCGCATCGGTAGGCGCACGTGATCGGCTAGGAATTTGGTCAGACCTATTTCAGGGTCGTAATCTTTGATCAGCTGTTCCACGTCAAACTTGGAAGCTAAATTTGAAGCACCACTTGAGCTGCTTGGGTTCGAAGAAGCTACAGTTGAAGTTGAAGCCATTCTATCTGAAAACCCAAAGACAACGCATAAACAATCAAAAATATTTTCTTTTGGTTAAAAGGATTTATCCAGGAAGGAAAGGACAAACATACGAGCAGTTCAGCTTTGTACGAAGCCCGCTGGTACGCATCTGCTTAAGAATTACACGCAATTTTTTTGGCTTTTTTTCTGGGCTGGGTGATGTTGCCTCACCCTCAAGCAACGAGTAGGGATCATGGGGGTCTCGAACATCTGACCTTTCGATTGAGAGGGAGAGACGCAACCACTTCACTCGATATCTATAAATCCCCAGAATTGTATCCAAGACAGTGTTTAACTGTGAGGCGACAACTCTAACAAGCGACAATTCGTAATAGTAGATTAAGAGGGGAACATTGATTCGTGCAGTTTTCCTCTCGTGCCAGTAAGCGCAGCACAGCAAGCGTATTTTAATTGCGAATGCCTTGCTATGAATTGTCGCTTGTTACGAATGGTCGCATGTTACGAATTGTCGCTTTTTACGAATTGTCGCTTTTTACGAAATGTCGCTTGTTACGAATTGTCGCCATGCCGTGTTTAGCTGTAGCCTATTATGCCAACCAGATTTTAACCTTACTCAAAATTCAAAACAAAATGCTGGTAGAGTCAGTGCGTCAATTGTAGCTATTCTGATAAGCTTGCGATATCGTCTAAAGCAAGCAGTTCCGATCCTAGTTCATGTATCGACAAATTCTTGATTGCTCTAGAAAAACTCCCTCAAAGCAACTTCATAGTTCGACAACACGGAGTTTTGGTTATCTGACTTGTCGGAAAAAAGTTGAAGCAAATTCATGTTAACAAAAGTAAATTTATATAACAAATAACTTCTTCTTCGAATTAAAATAATTCACCCAAAAACATTATTTCTGGGACCGGCTAATGTCAATCGAAGATAATCTAATGATATTCTTCAAATCAACCGGATAGCCTTTTTTCAATTAGCCGAACCTTATAATTTAGGAAATGATGTTTAAAGAAACTGTTAAGTTCAGATCGTGAACAACATGGAAAAAGATTGAAACTTGAAACGAACAACAACATATCGGACATTTGATTCCAATCAAATTGAAAATTAATTACTGAAAAGGACGAAAAAGTCAAACAAACATCATTTTACAAAATCAGACAGAAAAATCATAGATCATAACTTCAAATCGCACACATTGTAGTTCGTTTAGTTGACTTATAATTGAATATAACTTTTTTTTACATAAGTGAATTAGTATATGACAACATTTTGTCCATCAAATCGTCCCACGTTTTGCTCGCTGCCGTCCCGACATTCCCCGCGTCGGAGCTCGAGGAACTGGAAGCTTGCTTCGAACTTTCCTTCACCGGTGAACATGTTTTGCTACTAGTCGCTTTTGAGCTGGAAGAGCTCTCGTCGTGAACTTTCGATTTCTTTTGAAGAGGTTCGTCTTCAGGGTCATTATTTTTGGCTGAAGTATCTTTCTGCTTCCTGGTTGGGGACTTATCTCCTTTTCTGGAACACTTGGCCTCGTGATCTGTATACGCTTTTGCAGATGAGAACACTTGCGCGTCGCAGTCGCTTTGTAAGCATGCGTAATGTTCGGTACAAATTTTATGCTGTGATTTTCGATGCGACACGTATTCTTGCAAGTTAAAGTAATCATCACAGTTCCCTGTATTGCAGTGGAATCTACACATGTGGACCTTTGAAAGATGCAGAGGATGTTCTTTTTGCACGTGATACAACATTTCAATGTCTCCAGCGACATTCAGGCTACACCACGCACAACTGTGCACTTCAGATTTATCACATGTTTTCATACAGTCGGGACAAAATATAGGAGCGGAGGAGGAGTTTTCGTCCGAAGTTTTCTTAAGCTTGGCGCTCTCGTGCGACTTCAGGAGAAGTCGAGCTCCGAACAATCTTCCACACGAGTTGTCCAGGCATATGTAATGAATGAGACATCTATTGTACTTGGAGTGCTTCTCTTTTCGGTGGTTGACCAGTTCTTCGATGGTGTCAAATTCGACTTTAGTGCTGGACGAATTACACTCTTCAACATCGCACACCAGTTTCGGGTTGTCCTCCAACATACACAGACTTTCATGGTCAACGGCCATGTGAATTGCAATGTCATTGTCGCTTAGAAAGTTCGAGCTACAATACTTGCATGTTTTCAGCGACTTTTCCTCGAATATTTCCAGGAAACCACAAACAGCGCATTCATATGAGGTTTCGTCAGGCGCGCTTTCAGGTGCCAAGGGTTGTGTTGCCGGAACCAGACTTGTAGACATCTGTTCTTGGTCGTTCAACCCAGTAGAAACCGTATTTGAGTTAAGATTTCGTTCACCACTAGAAACAGTTTTCTCCGTTCCCTTGTCATTTATGAATCTCAGAGCATTTTCTTGAATCGACTTCAGTTTTTCAGACATGAATGCATCCATTTTGAAATAGCAACTTCGCTGATGAGCCGTCATTTCATTACTGTCGCTAAATATTTTTCGACACCCGTTTTTGCAGCACATGAAATGCACCGCGCATTTGGTGCTGAACGGCGGAAGCTTAGAGTACTTTTTGAACTTCGCAACGACTCCAGTATGTTTCTCCTGAATATGGAACAAGGCTTCTCTTTCATCTGCTACTCTCGCTTGGCAGAAGTTGCACTTCGTATAACCATAGGGCGAACACATATGATTACACGTTTCACACTGCAGCAACTCGGCCAAAGTGTTGTCCAGTTTCTCCGAGCACTTCATACCCTTGACACCGTGGTGACCTGCTAAGCTTCCGTGGGAACCAAATAGCTGGTAGCAATGTTCGCACACGTAGTGGAAGCGACATTCATCAGGTTTCTTCGGATGGTACACTCTCATGTGTTCCGTGTACGCCATCATATTCATAGGACTATCAGCCAGTAAACATCCCGGTTGTCCACATATGGTAGTTGCGTTTTGCAACTTCACTGGAATCGGGCCGAACTCTTTATGATAGTCAATCATATGCGCAATTACATCAGTCATTGCAGCAAACTTTTTGTTGCAGCTTGGACACGTCGCGACCGTTTTCTGAAGAGTGCCCATTGAAACTGAAGTGTCGCATAGGTAACATACTCTGTTGCTTTTGATCCTTTCGAAATCCTTGACCAGATCTTCATTTTTCGGTCTCGGTTGAACTTGCTTGGGCTGTTTGAATTTCGATTCCACTTTCATGGGCGGCTTTGCAGTGCCTTGAAGCGGAGGAACTGTCGGATTCGAGAACTTGGGCGCGAATGGCGTGTACTTGGGCGGAGAGTAATTAGCCTGGGCATGTTGAGCTTGAGTAAAAGCGTTATACATACTAGCATACTGGTTGTACTGGGGCATGGGGGCTTGATATGCTCTAGCCTGATTGTAATAGCCCATGTAGTTATAGTTGGGCTGGTGAGCAGCGGCTGCTGCAGGGTTCATGGCTGCAGCTCCTTGAGGAGGCAAATAGTTGCTGTTCAAATTCACCGAAACAAATGGGGCAGTATGCATTATGAAGTTAGTGGCGTTCGCATTGGGTCCGCCACCTATTCCGGTAGAAGCACCAGCAGTGTTATATCTCTCTTGCGCTTGACTTTTGCCATGTTTTGAGTTGATATGATCATCAAGGTCGTCTTGGGTTTCAAAAAGCGTCAAACAGTTACCTGTTGATATCGGGCACGGCAGGTGTTCGCTGAAACAGGAATGTTTTTCGATCAAAATATGCTCTAACAGATCATCAGTGTTTGAGAAGCTGGCATCACAAAGCTCGCAAATTATGATTCTAGGTATTGCTACTTTGTGCACGTCACGCATGTGCACATAAAGTTGAGCCTCATACGTGAACGAGACATCGCTTGGACATTTTTCACAAGTGAAACCTTTAGAAGGCACACACAACCCACAGAGTGAACATTTGGGCCACAGAAAACGCTCTTGTTTGCTTTTGAATTGAAAAGCGTTGCTCTGAGGGAAGCTCATTCCCACCATCTGCCTGAAAATAACCCACGTCTTATTCACAAATACTATACAATTGTTCTGCCTTATTAAAAAGAAACTAGCAAGCCTGTATCGATTAACCAATTGGCTCGATATCATGAATCATTTTCGAAGTAACGTTTTCATTCAAGCAAGGTAACTGAAAAATACTTGAACGAAGTCGCAGACCCGTTCTGAACAAAACATCAAACTTTCCGTTTTATTTCTTACTTTGAATCAATTACCAAAAAAATCAAACTTTATCCAGCGTTAAAACTTTTGGATATCATTCAAGTTACTTTTTTGTGGGCCGACTCACATAAAAAGAAACTTTTGATGTAACTAAAGCTTATTTATAGCGTGGATCGGTTCATGAAAGATCAGATTTTTCTAAGCAAGCTACTCAAGAGCTGAAAAATTGAAACGCGTCAAGCAATTTCATAGCGCAAATCGGCTCACAAAGAAATAATTTTTTTAAAGCAAACTCCTCAGGAGACGAAGCTTGAAAATATTATCTTTCCAAAGCAAGCCAATCAAGCATTGAGTATTTTGATCTACTCGAAGTTTAATTTGAGCGGAAATCAATCCGCAAACTTTAAAAACTTCTTAAGGAGCTATGGAAGCAAAGAAACTTTGAAAACTTCCAAGTAACTTCATTGCGTTAATCGGTTCTTAAAAAGTTTCAGGTTTTTGCAGCAAGCATTCATGCGTAACACATTTGAACCATTTCAAATTAATCAATAAAGCAAATCCGTTCCTTGTAAAAAGAAGCAATACACAAGTTCAAAAAATTTCTTAGCTTCTTAGATACAGGCCTATAAGAGAAGCTAAAATTTTTCTGTGTTTTTGCTCAATAGCTTGTTCAAATTTCAGCGCAGTTAAAACATTTTGCTGAGTAATCTTCTCGAAAAAAAAATTTAATTTGGGGCAAATAGATTCAGGTTATGATAACATTTTAAATACTTCAATGTTTCAATAGTCAAACTTACACGTGATTTATTTTGCGTTTTTATTGAAGCCATGAAAACAATTTGAACTA